AATATGCGGATCTGTACCTCACTTCACATCTTTAAAGTGCTTTCTCTGTCTACACGACCACCAGCACAGGGTCCTGTTTAAGATCTCCCTGTCAAGGCCACGCACGGCTGGAAGCGAAATCACTTAAAACGAGCCAAAGTCTTTGCCGTCCTTTGAAGTTTATGGCTTGTGTTTCCAAGAAGGGAGTTTGGCTCAGCCCGAGATGTTCATGCACCCATCCACTCATCCAGTAATCGATTGGTTCTCACAAAGGGATTAGAAAGCCCTGCTTTGTGCACATGCACAGTGTTCCCGTCTGCTTCAGTCGCTAACCAGCCCCGATGAGGGGGGCCTCCTACTGCAGAAATGCTCCTGGCTCCACAGGAGGTGGGTGGAGGGTAGAAAGGAGACCCAAGGTGGTCTTGATGGTAGCTACCCTATGGCTCTGCTGGCCGGTGCTTTGCAATAGTGATTGAAGGCGACAAAAAAAAAAAAAAAAAAAAAGGAAGGAACAAGAGATTTCTCCCAGACACTGTCGTGGAAACCGACTTACTCTGCACACCATTTGTCTTAACATTTCTTTTCTCAACGATCTGGCTTTCACTGACCAAACGAGGTGCGTCCATGTTTCCCGGGGGGCAGGGAGAAGAACCCACCTGTTCCGAGAAAGAGAACAATGGAGGGGCTCAGGAACATTCCAGACACACTCCCGAATACGCCCGGCCAACCCTCTTCTAACCCGAACGCAAGAACAAAAGAGAACAGCAACAACGAGACGGAGCGCTACTCCCAAAGCTCGCTTTGGGACATTCTAGACTTCACCCTAAGCTCGGTTCCCCCCCCCCCCCAGGGCAGGAGCCCCGTGAACAGACTGTGCTCTTCATTCACTGGGCTCGCTGGCCGGCCTTGGGCTTCGTTATTCCTCTTTGTGAAGAGAGAGGAGAGTTATTTACAAGAAACAAGAGAGATCTCTGAGATCCCAGTCGGATACGGGCTGCGAGCTCTGGTGACCAGGTGACTACACTCTTGTTGACTGTCCACCTGTCCACCTGCCATCCAATGGTGGACTCCGCACTGGCGGTGGTTTGTGTTCTCATGACAGGCTCCAGGTGGGTCGAACGTGGGACAGATGCAATGCTCTCACGGTCCAGAAAGACCTCCCAAGAGCCCCTTGTCTGCGTGGAGAACAAAGGGGATGGGTAGAGAGTGCTGGTCTCACCTGTGGCTACGTTTCCAGCACCCCGCCTGGCTCGTGCCCAGTATCGCTCGATAAGTGAACGAGTGAGCGAGTGAACGAATGAACGCGGATCTACCAGCAAAACGGGATCTCAGGAAACCTCAATGCTGCAGAGTGTACTTGGGTGTGAATGCCAAGGTCGCCGAATTGCAAGAGCCCCGGTGAAAAAAGTCTAAGTCTACACAAACGAAGAGATCCCGTGCCCGGTCTTGTCCCCAGATCTCAGGGCACTGCCCAGCCTTCTCTAAATTCTCAATGAACGGAGGAGGAGAGAACAACGAAAAGCAAAGAAACGAGGTGTGTACTAACGTGGGGAAGGGGGGGCGAGAAGAATGATTCCGGAAAATAGACCAGCCCACACGGGGCCCAATCCAGGCTCCCCTGGAAAAGACAAGAGAGCTCCCCCTGTCCCAGGGAGCAAAGGAAGACTCAAGAATCCTCACACGGGAAGGAGAAAACAAAATCAACGAGCCGTATCGCACTCAAAATATCTGTGTTAGTAACAAGGCTACTTACTGGCTTTGAACATTTGAAAATCACCCACAAATTAGTTTACTAAGCCACAAAGCGATACCTGGAGCACCCATTTTGAATAGAGAAACCCAGAAATAACATCCTAAAATTGGTCGCTGGTGTGTCATGGGCGCCAACCCCAGATCTGGAAGCTGTGGTCCTCCGTGGCAGGGACGCACCCATTCTCACACTCTCGTGCTGGGGAAGGCTCTTACGCTGATCTTTCTGGGTCGGGGACGGTTCAAGAAGAAAAGTGACAACGTCTGGCTTGCTCTAGAATACTCAGCATCTTTCTACTAGAAGCTGTGAGGCAGTAATTCTGAATCAGTGAAAGAGGGGCCGAAAGACTCGAAGTCATCAACTCCCAGCACGTGAGACCCAGGGACCAGTGAGTTGTGCTCTTAGAATCATGACCTTGTGTGTGTTGGGGGGTGGGGGGGGGGGTATGGACCCTGCACGTCCAAAGTAATTGAAGGGAAAGATGAACTAAGAAGGATGGATGGGCTCTCAGGGCACGGGTTCTGGGCTAGACTCTGCCCCCTGCTGGCCGTGTGACCATGCCCACCTTCAGGGGGCACTTCTATGGGTCCCCTGGAGCCAATTCTCAGGGTTAGATGCTGCACAAGGTTGTTTGCCGTGTTTCTATAAAGGGAGAGACTGATGAGCGAGGACCCAATGGGACAGGCTGAAAGCTTCCCAAGTCACACACTAACCCGGCTTTCCCAGGAATTTGGGGGGGGGTGGCGAAAGGGGAAGGGGGCACCAGCACCAAGCAGGGCTCTGGATTGTGCAGAAGCGGAGGTCAAGGTGACAGGACACTGCTTGGAAGCCAGGACCGTCTGCCATGCCCGCACGGTGTCCACCAGGGAGGGAAAGCCTCATGGGGGTTGGGGGGGGGTTGGAGAGTCACCCCCCCACCCCCCACGCACAAGCAGGGGGAGCCCTCTTCTGGGGGTGGCAAAGACCCATCCCAACCCATCTCCCACAGGGGACCGACCCAGCCCCAGTAAGAGCCCGGGAGGGGGTGGGGGCGGGAGCTTCCTTGAGGAAACTGCCGAGGGCTGGGTTGGAGGAAGGTTTCCAGCCCCAGAGACCTGACAAGAGATGCCTGACCGAATATAAAACACGACTCAACATTCTGACTTGGGGCCGATGTGCTGAATGAGGTAGTTCCGTCCTGACCTCTCCAGGCAGGGTCAGTCTGGGTAGAGAGGAACCAGGCCTTATTCCCAAGACCCCAGACGATGAAAAGTGGCAAAGGAAGAGCCAGGATGTGGGTTCCCAGAATGCAACGGGGGGAAAAAAAAACTAAGAGGGCGGGCCGCAAGAGGTTCTGGGTGCGGGCTGTTGAGCTGAACGGTGCCTTCTATCCGTGATTCCGACCCTCATCCTGGGTTGGAGACAGGGACCTTTCTCCCATGACCCTCCAAAGCCCGCGACACAGCCGGAGGCAGGGCCTTGGGGCTTCTGGGGACACAAGCGTGCGACGCAGCCAGCTCTGGGTGGGGACGTGACCCCTACAGGGTGCAGCAGGGACCATAAAGTTCCAGCCTCAGTCTGTTCTCGGAGCAGCAAGCACAGGACAGGAATCGGGGGGCTTCAGCCTCGGAGACAAGGGCAGGGCTGTGGATCGGTCTTCTTGGCCTGGGGACACGGGCAGCTCCCGGCGGGGCCGCCTTTCTGGAATCACCAGCTCAGCAGACCCGGACAGTGGGCGGGAGGACAGCTGCGCCCAGCAGCGGCCCCCTGGCCACCTGCTCTCCATGGGACCCCCCGGCCCCTCTCCTCGGCAGGACCCCCGGGGCCGTGCATGCCCGTCTAAATCTCCATGTCCACGGGGCGGATGTTGCCTGTCTTGTGCTCTCTGACCCACAGCTCCCTGTCTTTGGCTGGGTCCACTTTCCGAAGCAGTTGGTCCACAGGCTCGACTGTCTGTAAGGGACAGAGAAAGGGACGTGGTCAGAGGTGGCGGCTGGGGACAGCACCATTGGACCACGCTGCTTATGCCTTCTGGCCTTCGGAGTAGCCTTTCTAGAAGGTCGTGGGGGCCCCAAGGGAGGCCCTGGGGAGGGACGGCCGTACGCAGGGTTGCAAGAGCAGGGAGCCCCAGGCTCCTGTCCCCCTTCTGCCCTCCAGCCCACAGGCCTGCGTGACCAGGCAGGGTGGCCCATGGCCACCCGTCCGGGAACTCCTCCATCTGTCCCCACCTTAACCATCCAAGAACATGGCAGATAGAACTTCAGCTTTAGAGATTTTGAACAACACTTCCGGGTTATTTATTATTTTGGGGGTGAGCAGGCAGGTGGTAAGAAATTTGCCAGGGGAGGGGGTGCCTGGGTGGCTCAGTCGGTTAAGTGCCTGAGTCTTGATTTCAGCTCAGATCATGATCTCATGGTTGGTGGGTTCAAGCCCCGTGTTGGGCTCTGTGCCGACAGCACGGAGCCTGGTTGGGATTCTCTCTCTCTGACTCTCTCTCTCTCTCTCTCGAAATAAATAAATAAACTCGGGGCGCCTGGGGGGGGGACTCAGTCGGTTAAGCGTCAGACTTCAGCTCAGGTTGTGATCTCATGGTTTGTGGGTTTGAGCCCCGCGTCGGGCTCTGTGCTGATGGCTCAGAACCTGCAGCCTGAGATTCTGTGTTTCCCTCTCTCTCTCTGCCCTCCCCCTGCTTGTGCTCTGTCTCTCTGTCTCAAAAATAAATAAACATTTAAAAAATAAATAAGTGAATAAACAAACAAAAAAAGACATTTGCCAGGGGAGGCAATAAGGCCTTCAGGACTTCAATGGTCATGTCCTTCTCTCTCCTCAAGGGAACAGCCCACGTGTGTCTCCAAGTCACGTGCTTGGGACGGATTCACACGGACGTGCAGAACAGACCGTGAGCCCCTCCCAAGGGGTGGCCCGTGGGTTCCAGCACCTGCCACAGACCACCTTCACCAGCCCAGCGCAGGGTGGCTCTCCTCTCGCCCCGCCCCGTGGGTCCTACCGGCCCCGGGCAGGGAACTCACGCTTTGGTTGAACATGTCTGTCTCGTGCCGCAGCTGTGTGTACTGGCATAGATGCTGTCGAATCATCTCTACCCTCTCCGCCTCCAGCCGCTCTAGCTCCTGCCGAGGAGGAGACCACACAGCCCTGAGCGTGCGCCCTCCCCTCGGGGGACCTTCCCACCATGCAGGTCCCAGCCCGCCCTGTACACAAGACACGCGACTTAATTGTCCTCGATGATTTTAACACACAAGCATCGCTTGCCCGAAGCGCGCGGCATGATGGGGGAGCAGTGGGGTTCGAAGCAGGGTCTGTTGGGCTCAGACTCCTGATTCTGCACCAGTGCATGCCCAGCCCTAGTTCCCCGACGAGGTGGACAAATAGGTCACGTGTGGAGGTTCTGTGCCTCCGACTCTTGGGACTCTGTCCCTGGGCCTCTGCGCAACAGCCTCCCCTCCTCTGTCCATTCCAGGTGCTGAGGTGCAGACCAGAGACCAGGTCAGGGGAAGCAGGGAGCCGGGGGGATGGCCATTGGGAAACGGAAGAGAAAGGGTTTGTCCTCTGGCTTCTAGAGGGTTCCACAGCACCTTGGGAATTTAGGGGATCAGACTGCTGTTCTGGGCACAACTAGGTCACTGCCTAAGTGATTAACCGGGAAGGAGGGTAAGTCAGGGGGGCTTAATTAGGGGATTAACCAGGAGGAAAACTGGGTCACTGTCCCTGGGGGAGGCCTCTAATCTGCTCTGGGGGGCTGACACGTGGGGAAAGCAGAGAGTTCTTCTGTCCTGTGCTGGATGGACGAGGATAGCTTTGGGCGGTGGGGACAATAATGCCTGGCCCAAGACCTCCCTTCTCGTCCGGCCCGATGGCCCAAGTGCCAACCACGCTTCACTGTCCAATCCAACGGGTGCTGGGGAGGAGATGCTCTCCCTTCATAAGAAATACTCAGGAAGGCAAAAGAAAAGGGGTCTGATGCCTATTCCCTGTGCCCTTTGGGCAGGGACCTCCCCTCCCATTCTCCCTAAGTACCTACTACCCCCCATCCCACTCTATGCACGCTTCTTATCCTTCTGGGGGTGGGAAGGGTCATGCGTCCTACAACTTGGCTATTTGTCCTAAAGGCACCACTGTACGTTTGGTTGAGGGCATCCTTGGATGACCCTGACCCCTCAGAGGACAGCCAAGGAGGACACAGTAAGACTCATCCCTCTCCTGTGTCCACACGGCTAGGAAGTGCCCAAGCAGGATCTGAATCCACAGACTGGCTCAGGGTCGAGGTCTTGACCTTGGCGGTAGAGCGGATCTAACGACCACCTCGACAGCCACCTCCACTCCGTCATCCTCACGGACGCCAGCATCCCCCCCACCCCTCCCCCCACCCCCAGGACTTCCTGAGCACGGGTCCCTGTGGCGACACGCTTACACATCTCTGCTCACTCACCAGTGTGGTGGTCACCATCTCTTCAAACCACTTGGACTGGGCCTGGTTGTAGAGATCCACGCAGCGCATGAGGTCATCTCCTGGAAGAGACCATCAGCCACCATCACACTCTGTCTTGTCCTCACCATGGCTGCCCTCTCGTGTCCCTGGGTCGTGGAAGCCACTGGAAAGCGGACAGATGGAAAGCAGAGCAAAGGAAAGGGGCCACCCAGCATCACGAGAGAACAGCTTCGGACTGCCCATCGGAACTTGACCCCAGATAACCAAGAACTCAGGATGAGGGTTTCCTTAGCGTGTGTACGTGCGAACGCGTGCGGTGCTCCCAGGGCGCCCCCAATCCTACCATGAGCCCAAGGAAAGCTTCCCTCTCTAAAGATGCCAGTTTCATTTGAGATTGGAGGGTCCTTCTTGGTTTTAAAACGTGTCACAGCAACCTGCAAGCAGCCAAGAGTTCAAAAGGAAAAGTCTGCAAATCGTGCGTGCGTGTGTGTGTGTGCGCGCGCGCGCGCGCCCCAGAATATAATTCTGAAACACAAAATAATGTGTCTGATGGTTTGTGGCTCGTTCATGTGCAGCGGGGGTACAAAAACGTGCACTGGCAGCTATGTGCCAATTCCAGGACAGGGGTGACAAAGAGAGGGTAGGTGGGAGGGAATGAGCTCTTCCCACAGCATTTTATTTCATAAAAGAGAGACGGGGGGCGCCTGGGTGGCGCAGTCGGTGAAGCGTCCGACTTCAGCCAGGTCACGATCTCGCGATCTCGCGGGATCTCGTGATCTCGCGGTCCGGGAGTTCGAGCCCCGCGTCGGGCTCTGGGCAGATGGCTCGGAGCCTGGAGCCTGTTTCTGATTCTGTGTCTCCCTCTCTCTCTGCCCCTCCCCCGTTCATGCTCTGTCTCTCTCTGTCCCCAAAATAAATAAACGTTGAAAAAAAAAATTAAAAAAAAAAAAAAAAAAGAGAGACGGGAAACCAACGTAACTACTCAATCTCGATGGCTGGCATGTTACTACCTTGTAACTGGCATGTTACGGCAGGTACATTTGAAGCCTTTCGTTAACCAGAAAGAAAACACGCTTTATGTAAAAACAATTGCAAACATTACTAAGTATACAGGCACCAAGAACCTCATCACCCGAAACACAATTCCTGGACCTGTAGCATCTACGTGTGCTGACAGCTTGCTAGAAATGCAGATCTCGGGGCACAGAGGAGGCCTGCCGAACAGGAAACTGCTTTTTTAGAAGAGCCTCAGGTGAGTGGCGTGCACCTCGCCGCTGGGGTACCACCAGGGCACGCAGCTCCGTCTCAGTGTGGTTTTCTGACCATTGCAGGGTGCCAGAGACAGAAAGCCATTGTGGCCTTTGTTTGTGGTGGGAAAACCTCATGAGCGGGGCGCCTGGGTGGCGCAGTCGGTTAAGCGTCCGACTTCAGCCAGGTCACGATCTCGCGGTCCGTGAGTTCGAGCCCCGCGTCGGGCTCTGGGCTGATGGCTCGGAGCCTGGAGCCTGTTTCCGATTCTGTGTCTCCCTCTCTCTCTGCCCCTCGCCCGTTCATGCTCTGTCTCTCTCTGTCCCAAAAATAAATAAACGTTGAAAAAAAATAAATTTTAAAAAAAAAGAAAAAAAAAAAAGAAAACCTCATGAGCCAACCCGAAGCTCACTCTTCAGGTCTAGTATGCTAATTCCAGCAAATTCAACGTTACTTAATAATATCCCCCGGCTCGCGGGTATTCTGAAAGGGAGGTGGAAGAAATCAGGGAGACTCGTGTCCACGTGACCCAGGGCCCAGCTCAGTACCCCCTCTACTGAACTATATACCTAGCCAGCTTGGTCAAGGGCTGTGTTCACTTTGCTTTTGATCTATGGCCAGCGAATGGGTCCCCGATCCCAAGACGGAATGACCAGGAGAGAAGGAAGCGTATGCTTCACTGCAAACACATTCCCACCAGCCCCCGCCCGCCGCCTGGCCGAGGGGGGTCGGCCTATCACCCTACAAACGTACAACGATAACACTCCCAGAGCCCTCTTTGTCGATCCCGATTTCGAGAACATACTCCGGAAAACGTCTCCGACACCGGGAAATAGGGTAGCTGAAGGAGACTGTGTCTTCTCTCCAAGCAGCCAGCCCAAGGGTACCCTTCTGAACAAACTGAGTGGGAAAACGTGGATTCTGGAACCAGAGTATCTGGGCTGTCTTACGGGCATCCCCGTGTAGGAGCTGTGGGAACTTGGACAAATCAACGAACCTGCTTAAGCCTCAGTTTCCTCATCTATGCAAACATCTATAAGACAACAGTACCTTCACAGGGTCATGTGGACAGTTAAGTCACCCGATACCTGTCTGGTGCTTGGAATGGACACAGGCAGAGTTAGTGTGACTGTAACGCGAACTAAGGGGGCAACGGTGACAAATGAGGTCAAGCCCCCTGAGGACCGAGAGGTGGTCCCTTCCAGCAGCCTTGGAAAGGATGAGGGAGAGAAGGAAAAGAAAGCAGAGAAGAAAAGGAGGCATCTTCTGGGTAACACGCTGTCCAGCGCAACGGAGACAAGGAGTCTTTGGAAGAAAAGAAGGTGGGGTTCTGGGCCACGGGGCTCCATGACTGTGATCCTGGGGAATGTTTGTCACCTGCCATCTGCTTTCTCGCCTGTAAAGGGCACAGAAATACCTCCCTGCAGGAATGGGGGGTTCAACACGGAGGCTGTGACACACGGGGCTGGGCACCTCGCACACAGAAAAGGTTTGGGAAAGGTAGACTTTTTCACGATCAGATCCAAGGACAAGGACAAGTCACTTCCATCACAAAATAATTCCAAACTTTAGGGATAAGAGACGTATTGTCTGATGGCAATGCCCCCAATGGAGACACAGCAAAACAAGAGAGCCAAAGTAACCGAGCCCCCGGCTTGTGAAAATGTAACATTTTCTAAATTTGGCTTAAATTTAGTAGAAGTAGCAAATCGCAAGATTCATCTAGAACACAAGAGAAAGGAAAACACGAGAAATCAGGACTTCAGGAACATGGCAAGGAGCAGTGGTGTGAGGAAAAATAAACGCCCACCGGGGCAAATATTTACGTATTTATTTTTTAAACCTGGGGTCAAAGGCAAAAAAAGTGATTAAAAAAATATTCAGAAAGGAAAGGTCTAAGTCAGTCACAAAACCCAGAATTTACAAGGGAAAAGACCACTGTACAAAGAAATTCAACAAAACAAGCCAGAGAGAGAAGAAAAGAAAGAAACACAAAGACCAAAATTAAATGATCGAGGGCAACCCCGGAAAAATATTTCCAATTCAAACCACAGAAGGTTAATTTTCCTGACACAGAAACGCAATCCTCGTCAACCAATCTGTCAGAAAAAGACCAGCTACGTCAACAAGAAACTGGGGACAGGACAGGAGTTCATCAGTTCACAAGAAAAAGTCACACGTGACCTCTACAAGTCTGTTTTTATTTTTTTTTTAATTTTAATTTTTTTTAACGTTTATTTATTTTTGAGATAGAGAGAGAGACAGAGCATGAATGGGGGAGGGTCAGAGAGAGGGAGACACAGAATCTGAAACAGGCTCCAGGGTCTGAGCTGTCAGCACAGAGCCTGACGCGGGGCTCAAACTCACGGACCGCGAGATCATGACCTGAGCCGAAGTCGGCCGCCCAACCGACTGAGCCACCCAGGCGCCCCAAGTCTGTTTTTAAAATGCTCAAACTCGGGGCACCTGGGTGGCTCAGTCAGTTAAGTGGCTGACTCCGGCTCGGGTCATGATCTCGCAGTCCGTGGGTTCGAGCCCCGCGTCGGACTCTGTGCTGACAGCTCGGAGCCTGGAGCCTGTTTCGGATTTTGTGTCTCCCTCTCTCTGACCCTCCCCCATTCATGCTCTGTCTCTGTCTCAAAAATAAATAAACGTTAAAAAAAAATTAAAAAAATAAAATAAAATGCTCAAACTCACTCAAAAAGAAATGTAAAGTTGAGTTACCCACACAATATGGATGCTCACTAGACAGCAATGGTGTCGAAGTCGGATCGCACACAGCACTGACCAGAGTTTAGGGAACGGACATCCCTACTTTCGGTAACACGCACACCTCTCTGGAAAGTGATTTGGAAATGCCCACCCAAACCCACACAACGCTTTGACCCAGAAAATCCACATCTGTGTTCTCTCTATCCGAGGACTGAGTCTCACATACACACAGACCCTAGGACACTAACAACCATCACGGCCGCTGACGAATCTGGAAGTCCTGCAAACGTCAACCAGGTGAACTCATGAAATAAATTCGGGGCCACTCACACACTTGGACACTACTCAACCATTTAAGAAGCCCGATATACAGGGGACGCCTGGGTGGCTCAGTCAGTTAAGCATCCGACTTCGGCTCAGGTCACGATCTCATGGTTTGTGAGTTCGAGCCCCATGTTGGGCTCCGTGCTGACAGCTCAGAGCCTGGAGCCTGCTTTGGATTCTGTGTCTCCCTCTCTCTCTGTTCCTCCCCCGCTTGACTCTGTCCTCTCTCACTCTCTCTCAAAAATAAATATTAAAAATTTTTTTATTTTTAAATTCAAACACTCGTAAGTGTTCATAGTGATTATATCCAGTGGAGAAGAGTTTATGTTCTTAGGTGCTGATTACAATGTTTTGCCAAGCAGCGACAGAGTTTTATTTTTAAAATAACTTAATAAATTAAACGAATTTAAATAGCCTCTCCCTGTCCTGGGTTTCCCTTCTCAATCCCCGGTTAAGTACATTACGCCTTCTATTTCTGGATCCAATTACCACCACGCGTTGTAAGATCTTTCCATCGAATGTTGTGTTTACGTGACATTGCTTTGCTATCCGCTCTTCCTCCACCACTGTATCTCGTAACGTCCAGACGGTGGCTGCTTTGTTCTATGATGAACTGTCCTGAGCTCACCAGCAGTTGAGGTGGGAAAGACTCAGAAGCCATCTGATCCAAACCCTAATCACAGCACATGCTTTAATCCCAGAGGGCAACACGCACTGTCCTTGCAGGCGGTTAAACTCTGGGTCTCTAGGGGCTCCTGGGTGGCTCAGTCGGTTAAACAACCGATCTCAGGTCACGATCTCATGGTTCGTGGGTTCGAGCCCCGCATGGGGCTCTGTGCTGACAGCTCGGAGCCTGGAGCCCACTTTGGATTCTGTGTCTCCCTCTCTCTCTCTGCCCCTCCCCTGCTCGCAGTCTCTCTCTCTCTCTCTCTCAAAAATAAACCTTAAAAAAACCCAACAACTCTGGCTTTCTGAAGGAATATTTACGAAGTTTTTTACTGGTTTACCCTTCTTGTGCATCGGCTAATTTTTGCCACAAGGTGGAAGCAGAAACCGACTCAACTGGGCGAATCTTCGCAAGAGGAGGTGAAATCTGGTTATTTCATTGAACAAGACGTGTGCCTCCGTTCTGGGGCAGGAGAGCCCTGATCGCCACGGGCGAGCCCTTGGAGTATCACTCCCTGGGGACGTGCAGGGTCTTTACTTCTGCTATGGGCTCCTCGCAGGGACAGGACACAGTGTCACAGCCCCCACCCCAGCCTGGCTTTTCTGTGCAGCCAAGGCCAAGGTCAGGGGAGGGCAGGAGAGGTGGGGGTGGGGCTGGCCGCACTCACCAGCCTGCGTGGACTTCCTCCGCGCCTTCTTGATATCCTCTTCTGTCTTGTTGCTCAGCTTGATCTCCAGCTGCTGGGTCTTTATCTCCAGGTCTCTCTGCCTCTCCGTGAGGGCCTTCCGGGCCTGGGGTTCAAAGACACGGGGATGCTGCTCACAGGGCCCCACGGGTTATGTGGCCCCCCTCCCCCTTGCCAGATAAGAGTCCTCTCTTCTCTCCCTGGTTCGTGATGTTTTTTTCCCAGCAATGTTTAGTGGCCAGAAGCACCAGCCAGCCCATTTGGGGGCCGGATGGGTCCTTTGCCAGCAGCAGCTAGCAAACTCAGGGGTGTCCACAGGAGTATGCATCCCTTGTCCTGCACCCCTCCCCAAGGCGCTGGGGTCAGCAGCTCCCGGTGAGGTCGGACATCCCAGGCCTTGGCAGGGGAGCGATGCACTCAGGAGAGAATCAGCCCCGGGAGGCCCGGAGAAGGACCTGTGGACCAGCACACGAGCCAGCGGGGGGCGTCCCACAAAAGCACGGTGCGTGTGCCTGAGTGAGCCCCACCGTGTCTCCCACTGGCCCTGGGGCAGTGACCCGAGTGCCACGGGGAAGCGGCTCCTCCCTGCCCCTTTGGCCGGGATGGGGCTGGAGGCTGGCGCTCCCCGCCCCCCACCCCTGCCACGGGGGAGCCAGCCCACCCATTCCCAGCAGGTCCGGCCTCCCAGGCCGCTCACCTTCTCCACTGCGGCGTGACGGCTGGCAAGCTGCTTACGGAGGTCGGTGATGTGGTGTTCACACTTTTTCATGTCCTTCTTAAAGTTCTCCCGGAAGTTCATCAGGGGCTTCTCGACCTCGCTGTGAAGCTGTCAAGGACAGGAGGGGGGACGCGCTCAGGGCCCCGGGACGGCCGCCGCAAGAGGAGGAGGAGGGGGCGCTCTCCCCGACTCTCCCCAACTCCACAGGAGAAGGTGGACTCGGGGACAGTGGCCTGGGCCACCAGACAGGAAGACAGAAGGCGCCAGGTGTCAGGTCTCCAGTGAGAGGAGGTCCCCTCAGCCGGCGAGGCCCCGGGGTTCACGCCAACGGACTGAGGGGTTGGTTAGTGTCCGAGGCTTTCTGGGCCCTTCATCCGCTGCCTCCTAACTCCTGCCTCCTCTAGATTCCTAGAGCGGCCGGTTGGGTTTTGCTCACGTGCCCGTCACCCTTCCCTTCCCCACTGGGAACCTCCTGGGGGCAGAAACCAAAAGCCCACCTCTGTGTCCCCAAGCACTTCCCACAGTGACTGCCACACGGACGCCATTTAATTCGAGGAACTCAAGTCAGCTCTCTTTGTTGAACATCTGCTACGTGCCAGGCGCTGGGACCGCAAAGGTGGTCTGGACACAGTTCAGAGCCCGAGGAAGCCCCGGTGGGAGCCGCTGGAGGCCGGGAGAAGCTCACAGCTGCGCCCAGGAAGGCTTTCCTCACCCCTCCCGCCTGCACGGGGACAGGTGCACGGACCCTCCCACCAGAAGGGGCCGGCCTCGCCCTTCGAGGGCCAGAGAGGCGCTGGGTGACGGGGGTATTTCGAGCTTTTTCTTTCTCTTTTATTCCTTCCCTTTTCCCTACTCCACTCTCTTCAGGAGAGATTTTACTTAAATGTGTGTGTGTATGTGTGTGTGTGTGTGTGTGTGTGAACATAGGTTATGTTTGATGAGGCGGTTTGATGTGAACGGTGTGGGTCTGTTGCAGCCACAGTCAGAGCCCAGAGGACTCACACTCTCAGAGTCTCATTCACCCCTCCACTCAGTCTCTCGAAGCCCCCCAAGCTCATTCCTCTGCCCCCCCATTCAGCCTCCTGGAGCTCCCCCCCCAGCCTCAGCCTCCCAGAACAGTCCTCCCCCCAGATTCAGCACTCAGCCTCCCAGAAGCCCCTGACTCAACCTCTGATGGGGCCCCCTGACGGCCTTCCAGGGTCCCTCGGCCTGCACCTGTCCCAGAAGTGCCTTTGAAAAGCACAGCTGAACCATCCTGGACACAGGACCTGCCAACACTGGACATCTGTCACTTCTCTCTCTTCCTCTTCACCAGGCTCTGGCTACATTGTCTCTTTCTCTGGAGACCTCAGGACTTGGGCGTTTGCAGCTCCAAGCCACCAAATACTCGGGACTGTGACCTCCAAGAGGGCAGAGGCCCTGCTAGCTTTGCCCCCACTGTGTCCACAGGGTCTGGTCGGAGCCCATGCGGGCCAGGTGCCCCTTTACTACCCGGGAGAATGGCAAAATCTTCAGCGCCCAATGCCCAGGGGCAGAAGGTGACACCTTTGTGGTCAGATGACCTTTAAAGGCTAATAGAGGGCAGGCCATCCAAATAGCCCTCTCCCCCTGCTGTGAGTTGTAAAGGCTTCCTATGAATTTTCTGCGCCCCTTGAAGTTGCCTTGCAGAGGAAAACACCCCCATCTGGTGGCAGCTTGTAAAATGCTTCCGGCCTAAGAGCAGGCACTGAGGACTGCGTACATCCCTTTCCCACACAGATCAGGGGAGGAGGAGCCAAACTTAGCTTTCGTAGGAACCTGACTGGGGGGTCTGTGAGGGATAACTCAGCCTGCTCACTCGGTAACTCTGGGGTCTCTTTCCCAGGGCCTACAAAGGGAATTGATTTCTGGATTTCCATGTGCCCAGGAGCGACCCCCTGAGGGTGTTTTCGACATTCATCCTGGGCTCCAGTGCCCCCAGTTCTGTGGTCTGGGGGAGGGGCCCAAGAACCTGCCCATACAGCAAAATCCGTTCCCCAGATTTCGAATGACTTTCTGGAAACATAAGGCCACTGGTTGTCATCCATAGGCAATCCCATAGATAGAGACCCATGGATTCTCCTGTATTTTAAATGCTTTTAAAAAAACTAATTAAAAAAAAATTTTTTTTAACATTTGTTTATTTTTGAGAGACTGAGAGACAGAGCATGAGCAGGAGAGGGGCAGAGAAAGAGGGAGACACAGCATCTGAGGCAAAGTCCAGGCTCTGAGCTGTCAGCACAGAGCCCTATGTGGGGCTCAAACTCACAAACTGTGAGATCACGACCTGGGCGGATGCCAGACAGACGTTTAACCGACTGAGCCACTCAAGGGCCCCTAAAAAACTAACTTTTTGGGGGCCCCCTGGGTGGCTCAGTCGGTTAAGCATCTGATTCTTGATTTCAGCTCAGGTCATGATCTCATGGTTCGTGGGATCGAGCCCCCACAGTGGGCTCCTGCTTGGGATTCTCTGTCTCTCTCTCTGTTTATGCCCCTCCAACTCTCTCTCTCAAAATAAATAAATAAACATTAAAAAAAAAGGCTAATTTTTTCTTTAAGAACTCTGGCTGAGTGTCCTCTTATACTCATTCTTAACTGTTGAGCATCTCCCTCTATCCAGATGGTGGAAGGCCTTCCTAGACATTTGTCCTCATGACCTCCCTGCCGTCTCGGGTGGGACAGGCCCCTGGAGCCACTGTCTGCCTTTCCAGAACCCTGGAACTCTAGGCCAGCCCCTCCTGTCTTTCGCCTCCACATCGGAAGACAATCACAGAAATCACAAGTCGGAAGGGATGTCACAGACTATCTGGTCCTGTGCTTTTCGAATGGTGGGTTCCTGAGACTTGTGAGGTCAGTTTAGCATCAGGACCAGCTTTCTGACGAGGACAGACCAGACAGGAACAGGACACATCCGTGCATTTCAGACAGGACAAGTGCGCCTTTGTGAAACATTGGTCTCAGCCACGCACGTGTGTGGCTAGCTGGGTACGGGTGCCTGTGCGTTCTGGCTGCCCGTGTAAAATGCATTCCTGCGGGAGTAAGTTCCAACAAGTTTCAAGTACGTTTCAAGCCACTGAGCTGGTCCAAACTTTTCAGGTCACACGTGAAAAAAAAGGGAAGCCCAGAGACGCTAAGACTCGCCCAAGGTCACAACGCTTGTGAGCGACGGCACGGACGTAAGACTCATGTCTCTTGACTCCCACTGTCCCCCGCCTAAGAGCTTCTGTCTGCAGTGCATGGCCTCTGCTGCATGATTAGATTTTCTTCCATCAGAAGGAACTTTTCTATTTTCCGTTCTTCGGCTGAAGCCAGGTCTAACTTCCTTTTGTACACAGTAATCTTCTTTCTTTCGCGGCCTGTTGCTATCAGCTGTGGCTTAAGCCGGCAGACTAGCAAAGCCTGAGAGATTGCCATAACAAAATTGTGTTTTTTTTTTTTAACGTTTATTTATTTTTGAGACAGAGAGAGACAGAGCATGAATGGGGGAGGGTCAGAGAGAGAGAGAGAGACACAGAATTTGAAACAGGCTCTAGGCTCTGAGCTGTCAGCACAGAGCCCGATGCGGGGCTCGAACTCACAGACCGAGAGATCATGACCTGAGCCGAAGTCGGGACGCTTAACCGACTGAGCCACCCAGGTGCCCCTTTAAAAAAAATTTTTTTAACGTTTATTTATTTTTGAGACAGAGATAAAATTACATTTTTTAAAGAGCTCTTGCCCCTGACATGGAATATTCAGAGCGGAATTTCAATGAGCCCTCTGGAGCAGACGGCAAAATGGGTTTCGGGCATTTGAAGCTATATGACCCATGGCGGATAGATAAATCCTTGGAGCCTCTTGGATATAACCATATGACCATGCGGCTGCTACTGTGATTGCCTAAGGCCACCAGCGGCTCTCATAGAAAATGTGTGTTTCGTGGGCATTCTTCACAAACCCCCCCATCGGGTGCACGGAGTGAAGTCAGCCTTGCTTCGTCAACTCCTGACTTAAAACATCCTGACCATCCCCTGGGGAGGGAAGGGGGCCTGGAGATTCAGCTAATGAGCAATCGTGCCTGAGTGATCACACTTCCAAAATACTCTGTAAATTACAGGGTTTGGAGACCTTTGGGGTTGGTGAGCACGCCCACGTGCCGGGCCAGTGGTACAGCCCAACTCCACGGGGACAGAAGCTCCTGGGTTCGGGACTCCTCCGGACCTCGCCCTACACGCACCTCTTCATCCGGCTGTCCGTCTGTATCCCTTATGACGTCTTTTAATATACAACAAACCAGGAAAGCTAAGTACACGTTTTGGAATTCCTAGCAAATTATCAAACCCGAGGAGGGTGCGGTGGGAACCCCATCTTGCAGCCGCCGTTCAGATGGAGGTGTGGGTAACCTCCGAACCTCCTACTTGCAACGGACATCTGAATCGTGACACAGTCTTGTGGGATGGAGCTGCTGCCCCGTGGAATGGGACACCCAGAACTGCAGGGCGCCCGGCTGGTGTCAGAGCAGTGGTGGGGGTGGGGACACCCCACATTGGGTGGCAAACACTGGTGCTGGAGGGTGTGACAGTGTTATTAATATAACAGCGGTAGTAAAAATAAATAAGCAGAAGAAAATGGTGCCTCGGAAAGCATTCTGTCACCTGCTAAGCGCTCTATAGACAATCAAGACTCAAGGGTCCTGCTGATGGGGAGTAGATGCCACCAGGGTTCCTGGGGACCCAGCAGGCGACCGTTCAGAGCTTGTGGAGCCGGCTGCACAAAGAGGACAGAGCCCCTAGGGCCGGGACACGAGAAGGGAGGCCCCCGAAGGGAACACTCCCCAGGATCAGCAGGTTGAACAGAACTCACTGCTTTGCACGCGAGGCAGAAAAAAAAGGTACTTGGTGGAGCCCCCTCCCCCCCACGCTCGCCGGGCAAATTTCCCGCAAAGCGCTCAGTGCGATGCGTTAGGGTGTTACTCGCTGGGAGCCCAGAAGGTCTCACTCACAGCTGGGGTCAACCCAGTGTCAGGGCGCTAACATCCTTCAGAAGCGGGGAGTCTGGTAACAGTTTCTTCCTCCCGCCCCAGCTCCTTATAAAGCCCCTGCGTGCGTCCTCGCTGTTTTGAGCCATGAATTCCGCCCTGTGTGTGCAGGGGACCATCACCGGGTGGGGTGGCGAGGTGTGTACAAAGCCGATTTGGGTCCTGCAACAGCGCACATCCCTGGGGGACCCCAATTCCTATGAGGAGAGCGCTGGAGAACAGATGCAATCAAGTGCTGAGTGTGGAAGTCAAAGAACACTCTCCTTAGGGAGATGCTATCTTCACGTTACAGTAAAGGAGGTAGCGTGCCCTTCATGTTCAGGGGCTCAGAGTTTAAATGCGTTGTGTAAGGTCCTCACGGGGCTGCCGTGTCTGACTGGTAACTGGGAAGGGTGTGGACCCCAGGAGGCAGAGGTCACTGGGAACAGTGCCACTCTGAACAGCCTCTCTTCCCTTAAAAGGTAACCATGCAGGGTACCTGGGTGGCTCAGTCAGTTAAGTGTCCCACTCTTGGTTTTGGCTCAAGTCACGATCTCATGGTTTGTGGGTTCAAGCTCCATGTTGGGCTCCATATTATCAGTGTGAAGCCTGCTTGGGATTCTCTCTCCTCTCTCTCTCTCAAAGATAAACACTTTAAAAGGCAACCATGTTAAAAATAAAAAAATAAAAAAATAAAAGGCAACCATGTTAGTGGGTAGCCCTATCAGTCATGCACACTTTAGTATGAATTATTTCACTTCGGACATTTGGTTTACTTTTCCCCTGAAGAGTAGGTGAGAGCCTTAAAAGGAATTGGAGATATGAGCTGGGGGTGAGGGGGGATGGCATGGTGGTGGGGGACAGGGTCATTTGGAAACACGGAGAAATCCAGAGAGAAAGTAGGGCTTAAAAAGATGGGGGGTGTCAGAAGGAGCAAGTCAGTTGTCTCTGTTCATTCACTACTTTCAGAAAATATTTATTAAGCATCTACTGTGTGCCCGACACCACCCTGAGTACTGAGGGCAGAAACCATGCTGCCCTCAAGGTCATGGTGCTAGATTCTGCAGGACCAAACAAAAGAAGGGTCAGCTACCTAGTGTGACAACAAAAAACCAAAAAATCCTCCCTGTGGTGCAGTCTAGCCTCTCCTGACAGCAAGAACATGCACACATGTTCCTCTGACAGCCCAGCAAAGTGAGTGAGAGTGGGGGGTCCCCTGAGGAACTTTGGGGCACCCACTCTCACACGTCACAGAGGTGTGCTGGGGCAGTTCGGCAGAATTTGTAGAAATTTTGTGAGCCGCTTGTTAAAGATGGCCGGTGTTAAAAATTCAACATGATCTACACTTAACAAATCATATTAAAAACAAAGGTAATGGGGAGTCTAGTTGACTCGGTCGGTTAAGCGTCCGACTTTGGTTCAAGTTGTGATCTCAGTCTGTTGAGTTCGAGCCCCACGTGAGGCTCTGCGCCGACAGCTCGGAGCCTGGAGCCTGCTTCGGATTCTGTGTCTCTCCCTCTTCCCCGCTCGTGCTCTGTCTCTCCCTCCCCTCCCTCGCAAAAAAAGATTAAAAAAAAATTTTTTTTAATAAATACACTTAGATGTAAATTAAAAAATAAATTAGTTAAAAAAAGAAAATACGAAATAAAAAATAAGAGTTGCAAGAATAAAAAAAACAAGAAAACAAAAAAAATAGAAACAAAGGCACCAACCAAATACTTCGCGTTTATGAACCTTTTAGTCTTCTCCATGCTCCTGACGGGCGCTAACGGCTACCGACGCCATTGCACGGGGACAATGGACACACTGGCTGATGATGGTCAACTCTGGGGACTCTCTTGCCCCCACTGGAAATCTACACCACGGAAAGGGGCCGACAGCACACGCTGGAGAGGCTACTGTGAGCCATCCGGCAGCACACGGCCGCGGACCGCCAGCCCGGAGGGGCCGCGGGGACGGACAGCTTACCTTGGCGGAGAACTTGAGGTGAACTTCCGCCTCGTCCGCGAGGCTCTTCTTCACCTGGGCCCACGCTTCTCCCAGGGAGCTGCAACCCAAAGAGGACTGTCAGACCCAGACCCCGGACGGCCACGCTGCCCTCGGATCGGAGATCTCGGCCCCTCCTGGGCGGCGGGGACGGCGGGTCTTGACGTGGAGCCCGCCCGAGACGGCGCGTGGGTGGGGCAGAAAACGCCCGTTGAGCAGCGCGCTCCAGCCTGGGGGCCCGGTGAAGCCGGGAAACACCCGGGAGCTCAGAGAATCGGGGGGGGGGGGGGGAGATGAGAGAGGAAGGTGGGGCACAGCTGCAGGGTGGGCCCTGACACCTGCCTGTTACTGCCCCCCGTGCGTCCCCCCAGTGCCCATCCCTGGTTCACTAACGGGCGGTGCAAAGGCCTGCCGGTCAGCCAAGGGAGACCAGCCACGTTCTCCGGGAGAAGCGGATCTCAAACGCAAGGTGCCACACAGCCCTGCCTGCGGGCAAGCCTCCAGCGGCCTGACTTCCAAGGGGGGCAGAGACGGACCCCTGTGCTGAGGGACAGCTCACGGACGCCCACACAGCAGGGAAGGCTCTCCTCCGTCCCTATCCTCAAGAGGCGTGGCTCCTGCCGGTCCTGATTCCGGGCTGTGACCTCTGGTGCCGCCCACACCTTCCCGGAGAAGGGCAGAATCCCTTTTCCGCTCCAAGGAGATGTTTCAAACAGAAGCATCTCCCCAAGTCCTCAGGGCTTTCACGTGTGGCCCCCAGGCCCCACTCTCCACTCCTTGGAGCTCCTGAGCCTTGCCGGCCTTCAGGTGATGCCCCTGCGTCCTTGCTGGAGACCTCCCCCCGCCCCCCCCCAGACTGTTCAGGTCACTTAACTGCATCAAAGAGCCATTTTCCTCCAAAGAACTGAGCTCAAGTGACACGGCACGCGGCTCCCGGCTTTTGAGCGGGGCCAGCGGCAGCTGAGAATGAGTCCCTCTGGTCACAGCCCAGGCCTGTGTGGTTGTGGCACGGGCTCAGGCCGAGCGGGCGTGACGGGAAACGACCGACCAATCTTATCTAGGGGTCCCTCGGGTGGTCCTGGCTGGGGAGCGGAGCCCCCCCAGGGAAGAGCAGGGGTGAGAAATGACGGTCCGAGCTGCTGGCGGGTAGGGGCACAGACGGCGAGGTCCAGAAGCAGACACAGCATCTCAGTGGGGAACGGATGGTCTTTTCAATAAATGGTGTGGAGACCACTGTAGAGCCACGGGGAGAAGAAGAAATGTCGACCCTGACCCGACGCCACGCATGCGAATGAAGTCAGGACGCAGCACATCTACAGTGAAAGACGGGCTGACAGACAGGAGCCGTCCCTGCACCGAGCTGCTCACGGGCCTACAAACGAGAGCCCAGAAGCCACAAAGGCCCTGGCTGGTGCGGAGTTTGTAAGTCTACCGTGGGCAGAGCGTGAGGTCAGTCACTGGCCGGTGACGGCTTTAGTGGCCTGCGAAGGTCACCGGCTGTGGGGAAGGACGAGGTCCTCGGCCCCACCTCCAGGCTGGGCACCCAAAGCTGGGCGGACGCCCCTGTGAACACGCGGCTGGGCCTGTCTGAGCAGATACCCTCCCCCAGACACCCCCCGCTCCCCCCCGCCATCCAGAGCCACCTTCACAATCGAGAAAAAAGCAATTTAGAAAATGCTCTCACTTGAAGACCGAGCTTTCCATCTGATGAGAGGTTAATGAAAGAAATCAAACCTGAGATGTGTTTCCATTGCAATATCCAGTCCGAGGCATATGCCAAATCGGAACGCAGGTTACTGGTGCAATTACCAACCAGAAAAGACACAAATCCCATTTCCTTTCCGCACAGGCGAGAGGGGGAAAAAAAAAAAACCTGCAGGCAGAATAAACAATCCGATCTTGTCTGTCTACCAACGTGCACGTACCCTCTTGGAGTCTAATGGGGGCCAGCACCTTCCTGGCCTGCCCCAAATTCCTAGGACGGGGCCCACGTGTTCACCACCCCGCCACAACCCCACGGTGCCTGCCGGAAGGAGCGTGTGTGTGTGCGTGCACGGGGACAGGGCACGCGGTCATGCCCGTGGGCAGGGGTGCAGCATCTGTGTGTGTGAGCGAGTGCATGTAAGGGGTGGTGGTGAGGGCCTGGCTCGTGCAGCTGGGAGCATATGCTGCTGAGCGTGTTGGCAGGATGGAGTGTCCTTGGCACTAGCCCAGGCCGAGGAGGCGGCAGCCGGAAGGTTCCGGATCGGCACTGTGGTTTGCAGGGCACAGGGATGTCCAGGAAAACCTCCCTGCCAGGCCGGAGGGGCGACTCCCCACTCCCCCCGACGATGCGGTCTCGAGCCCAGTGCCTGGGCCAGGAGGGAGCCACCGGGGCAAGCTCATTTCTGTCTGCAGAGGAGCCCCTGACCCCCCAGGGCCACCCTGTGCCCACCAGGCCAGTGACAGGCCTGTAGAGGCAGCCTCTTGGCTGCACCACGAGCCCACGCAGAGACCGCAAAGCCGCCTTTGGTTGGCATGGCCCATCCCCTGAAGGCCTCAAGCCACGCAGGCAGATCTGGACTTGTTCAACATTGCAGCCGTCTGCCGACCATAACCACACACGACACAGCGTCCCCCTTCCTCAGGGCTCACCTCCCCTTGCAGAAGGGGCCTCGCATAGACCTCACCGGCGGGAGAGACCTCGGGGGGAACCTTTTGCCTCTAACCTCCCGAGCCTGGTGTTCTTTATTCCCGAGACGAAAGTCACATCATGTGAAATTAACCGTCTTAGAGAGCACGGTCCTGTGGGGCATTTCGTACGGTGACCACACTGTTCAACCACTACCCTCTACCTTGTTCCAAAACATCTGTATCCCCCTGTTATGCACTGTTTGTGGACCCCCCCCCCGCCCCCAAATTCGTATGTTGAGGCCCTAAGTTCCCTATCCATAGGGGGGCTGTTATTTGTAGATGGGGCCTCTAAGGAAGTAATTAAGGTTACGGGAGGTCGTAAGGGGTCGGGCCCTGGCCCAGTTGGGTTCCTGTCCTTGTAGGAAGAGTCACCAGAGAGCCTCAACACCCAGAAAAGGCCGTACTTAGAACTCTAGAGGAGAGGTCTCACCAAAGCTGCTGTCACCCTGATCTTGGACTTGCCAGCCTCCAGAACCACAGTAAATTAAATTTCTATTGTTTAAGCCGCCAGGTCTCTGGTATTCTGGGAGAGCAGTCCAAGCAAACGAATGCACACCCCCAAAAGAAACCCTGTACCTGGGGGGCCTGGGGGGGGGCTCAATTGGTTAACCATCCGACTTCGGCTCAGGTCATGATCTCACGGTCCGTGAGTTCGAGCCCCGCGTCGGGCTCTGTGCTGATGGCTCAGAGCCTGGAGCCTGCTTCCAATTCTGTGTCACCCTCTCTGCCTGCCCCTCCCCCAATCGCGTTCTCTGTCTCTCAAAAGTAGACATTTAAAACAATTAAAAACAAAACACAAAAAACAAAAAACCCAAACCCGTACCCATTAAACAGGGACTCCCTGGCAACCAGCCACGTTCCTTCTGTCTCTGTGGATGTCCCTATTCTGGACATTTCACATAAACAGAATCCTACAACATGCAACCTTTTTGTCCGGCTTCTTCCGCTGACGATAATGTTTTTAACGTTCATCCACGAGGCAGCACACAGATCAGGACTTGATCCCTTCCTGTGGCTAAGTAACATTCCATCACTTATCCATATATGCAATGGGGATGTACCCAATGTGCTAATCCGTCCACGTACAGATCCGTCCATATGTACGGACACGCACATATACACAGATTCGTCTGAGTATCTGTTTCCAGTTCTATTGGGTATAAACCCGTGAGTGCAACTGCCGGGTCATGGGGCCATTCTGTTCAGTGTTTTGAGGTGCTAACAGTTTTCCATGGCGGCTGCACCGTTTAACGTTCCCACCCGCGGGCTGAAACTCTTTGTTAAGGGACACGCAGAGTAGACTACTCTCTTCCTTCAGGAGGGACGCTTCTGGGGCCTGGAGGGTGTGGGTGAGCCTCCCCCAGCCCAGACCCCGCCCAAGGAGGGCAGGACTGTCAAAACTGGAGAGGGAGGGGAGCCGGCCAGAGAGAACTCTAACCAAGGGGCCGGGTACAGAATCGTCTCCTCCACCCCCTTGTTTCTTCTCAGCCTGTCCTCAGAGATGGGATTCGATTCGGGGGCAAGGGGGTGCTGATATACTCCAGCATCTGGTGGGAGGCCCTCGGTCACGGGGGAGTGTGCAAGGGCCCATCCTAAGTATGGATGTGCACATCAGAGGTCGCGGGTGCCCGGCCCGAGGCAGGCCTGGCAGACTTCCCCATTTAGGGGAGGCCACAGCAGTGATCAGCGATGCAAAGAGGAATCCACCCCCCCACTTCCTGCCCCGTCCCTCCCCACTCACCCTTCCTCCTGTGCAGCCAAGGAGTTCTGAGAGAGCTTAGCTAAGTTCTTCGCATACTCCTCTTCAATCTTTATCCTGCAAAACGGAGAAAACCCAACCCGTCAGCTCCCCGGTGCGACATTGCGGGTCTGACCCGCTGACCGGCCGCTCGTAAACTCTGTAAAGGAACCCGCTAGACCAGACGCTCTGACAGTTCGGGGCTCTTGTCCCTCCGCTGACACACGGCAGGGGTTCCCCAACTATCTGCTGAAGGAACGAACTTCTCTGAACCTCTGTCTCTTCTTCTGTGAAATGGGATGTTCCCAGCTGTCTGCTGGGCTGTCGTTCACACAGCTCCCAACCCGGGGCTGGGCACTCGGGAGGCCTTCAGATGGGTGAATGTAACTTGTGATGCCCACAGGCATGCCCGGTGGTCCTCACCTCCCGTCCAGCCCCCAGTGCCTCTAACTGTCAAGCTGCAGGGCACAGGGATTTCCATGGACACCAGGCAGTACCCAGAGCATGTGGCTGATTCCAGTTCCCTAGAGAGGGAAGATGCCTTGGTTTTTGCTTTCAGCAGGGCGGGCCCTTGACACACTTTCAAGGCAACTCTCTGGGGAGTGTTCCGTATTATCTGGCACATGGTGTTAAAGCGTCGTCAAAGGCACTGTTCACCTCCTGAGTGGTCCTCTGGGCCGTGTGGGGACAGGGGCCACCACTCAGGAGCCCCGGGCCCGTCGCCGGGCAAACAGGAAGGCCCCGGAGATGCTCTGAGGGGCTGGGACACTCGTTCCCAGCGGCTTCGAAGCTGATGGCCCAAGGGTGTGGCGATGTGGAAACGGGGGCCTGACTGAGCCCCGTGGCATCATTCTGAGCAAGAATCCTTTTCTGCCTTGGCCTGAGAGACCCACAGCCATGTTCCTCCTCTCCGGGCTCTGCTCTCACCTCCACCTCCGGCCGCCTCCGGGGGCCGGCTGGAGTCTATCTCCTGGTTCGTCACTTCCTGGCCTTCGCTCTGCCCTCCCCAGGGTGACCCGGGGCGGGGGGCCAGTCTGCAGCCCCCAGCCGGCGGTCAACACACCTCTCTCGAAAGCAGATCTGACCACGGCACACTCCTAGCTTCACGTCTCCAAAGATTCCTCGAGGTCAATGGCACACACCAGGCAGGGGTCCCGGCTCCACCCGCCCATCCGCCCCAGGCCGCGGCCACGGCAAACAACCCGGCCCAGCACGCTCTACCCGGGCACCTCCACTCTCGCTTGTCTCCCTAGCAGACCCGGGCGGGCCGAGAAAAGTCTGCACTCCCCGCGGAAGACCGGAGTGTTCTCAAAGGGCAGATCCCGCTTATCTGCCAACACAGTAGTGGTGTTGTTTTTTAATTTTCTTTTTAATGTTTATTCATTTTTTGAGAGACAGAGACAGAGCATGAGCAGGGGAAGGGGAAGAGAGAGAGAGGGAGACACAGAATCCGAGGCAGGCTCCAGGCTCCGAGCTGTCAGCCCAGAGCCCGACATGGGGCTCGAACTCACAGACCATGAGATCGTGACCTAAGCCAAAGTCAGGTGCTTTGCCACCTGAGTCACCAGGTGCCCGGCCTTTTCCTGTATTTTATACCATTGTTTCTTCGCACCTGAGCTATGAGCTCTGCTCATTTCCTACCAGCTTCATGGGTCATAAAACAAAGATTTGAGGGGCGCCTGGGTGGCTCAGTCGGTTAAGTATCTGACTTCAGCTCAGGTCATGATCTTACAGTCTGTGAGTTCAAGCCCCGCGTCAGGCTCTGTGTTGACAGCTCAAGAGCCTGGAGCCTGCTTCGGATTCTGTGTCTCCCTCTCTCTCTCTGCCCCTCCCCTGCTCTTGCTCTGTCTCTCTCTGTCTCAAAATAAGTAAATAAATAAATAAAAACAAAACCAAAAAAAACCCCAAAGATTTGATGAAACAAATCGAAAGCATACCTCGGAAGGAAAAGAGGTATTTTAAAATGCCCAAGAATGATTATTAAATGATTGTTATAATTAAGAAAGATTTTTAAAAATACATTGCTATTTATTGTAAGTATTTCCAGCGTGCCCCGGAAAGTCCAGATGGAAACTCGTGTGCATGTGAGTGGGTGCTCAGACCTTGGAGGAACTGAAAAGGCAGGAGGTGGAGAAGGAGCTTCTTATAATCTGTCCTGGCTGAATTTATCATTTCCTCATTTCTGTTCACACAAACCATCCTTCAGCAAAACCACTATTATAATCCCTACACCTGTCATAAACGACCCCACCTGACTCTTTCGTGGGACTGAGCCCCCACCCCCCCCGAAAGGGATGGGGGAACGGGTTCTACCTGCCCAGGTCTGGGACACAGCTTGGGTTCAAGGATGAACTAACAAGGTAACAGTCTCCTTTCTCATTATGATAGGGACAGAGCATCAAATGACGGCCACGCAGGTCAGTACAGGGGCCCAGCGGTCTATGTGCAGATGCCCCGGGGAAGGAAGATTCCAGCAGACCAGACCTTTCTGCCTTCTCCAGACAAGCCAGAGAGCCAGCTTGTAGCGTAAAATCTACCAATTCGAAAACAAAAACGAAAAGCGTTTACAGTCCAAACCTTAAAAACCCCACACGGGCCAAAGCCATGCAAGCTATAGTTGTCCCAAGAGCCGCAGCGGGGGCCTCTGGCTCCCCTTGGTGCTGACCGCGCCCGGTGCTGGGCGGGCAGGACGCATCCCAGCTGCTAGCCACCGACCTGGGGCTCAGGGGCCGAGGTGGCGCTGGGACTGGCCCCGGGAGATGGGGGGGGCCCGGGTCTCACCTCTCCCGGATGAATTCTGACATTTCCTTCTGCATCTGTTTGCCCTTTAGTTGTTTCTGAAGGAGCAGTTCAAACCCAGCCATGGTGCCGTTGCCTTGGGGGTCCTTCTTATCAGCCTAAAAAGGATACGGAAGCACGAGAGAGCTTAGGTGACAAGGGTGTCCCGGGTGCAGGGAAGGGAGCCCCGGAAGGGACCGGGTGTGCATGGCAAGCAGACCTTAGCCCAAGAAACTTCTCGGGCCCTGGCCGGCACCATACCTAAACCCGTGTCCTCCGCAGTTACAGCCTTTCCCCACCAGGAATCCAGACTTCAGTGCTTTGGTACTTCATGGAAGGAGCGAAAAACACATCCTTTGATATCAGACAGGTGCATCGATGAGGACCGTGTCCCAAGTTCCTAAAGACCGGGTCCTTGTCTCAGCTCAGCCACCGGGTGACACGGCCAGGCCTTTCCAATCCTGGGCTCTGTCCCCCCCCAACCCACACCCCTAACTTTGCAATAGGACTGGGCTGCATCTCTAAGATCCCTTCCAGAGCAGACTTTTTTTTTCCTTTTTTAAACGTTTATTTTATTTTTTTTAAATATGAAATGTATTGTCAAGTTGGTTTCCATACAACGCCCAGTCCAGAGCAGACGTTTTAGGGGAAGGGAATATCAGAAAGGGGTGGGTGATGCCTAGAGAGACCCCACCTCCCATTGTCAAGCATTCGAAAAGTTTACGGACGCCCCCTCCCCTAGAACTCTCTCCCAATGCGGGATTCTCCCACCCTCAAATGAAGCGTTCTGGGACACACTGCTAATACCTCTTGTGACAGGGAGATCACTACCACACGAAACGCACCACATCACAGCAGGGTGGCTCTGGCCATTTAAAAGCTTCTCCAGGTACGTCAGGTTTGTTTCTTTGCTTTTTTTCACGTTTATTTATTTTTCAAAGAGACAGTAGGAGCGGGGTGGGGGGCGGGGCAAAGAGAGGGAGACACAGAATCCGAAGCAGGCTCCAGGCTCCGAGCTGTCAGCACAGAGCCTGACACGGGGGCTCGAACCCACAAACTGTGAGATCATGACCTGAGCCGAAGTCAGACGCTTAACCCCCCAGGCGCCCCTTCTACAGGTATGTTTAAGATTCGAGCACTTTGCGGTATGAACGCTACACCCCGATAAAGAAGCAAAAGAGGGGCGCCTGGGTGGCCGAGTCAGCTGAGCATCTGACTCTTGATTTTGGCTCGGGTCACGATCTCGGGGTTCGTGGGCTGGAGCACAGAGCCTGCTTGGGATTCTCTCTCTCCCTCTCGCTCTCTGCCCCTGCCCCGCTCACACATGTACGCACGCTTTCTCTCAAAGTAAATAAATAAACTTAATGATTAAAGAAAAAGGAAAAGAAAAATCCCCCCCAAATACCAGGCCTCCGTGTGCCTCCCACATAAGGTGGGTGTGCCGAGCGATCCGTCCACACTCGGGAAAACCGGCCAGAAGAGGGGGGCTTTAGCGGCCGTTCACAGCAGGGAGATTTCCGTTAGAGGGAGAGATGATGTTGGAGAAAGAAAGCCCTAGAGTAAGGAACAGAGTCCCAGCAGAGCCTGAAGGAGGATGAGAACACGCAACTTTTGCTCTTGGATGCTGGCCAGGGGCAGGTCCACACACTCCCCTCTGGCTCCCCAGGGCTCCCTGAGGCCCCCACATGGTACCCCGCACAGGCTGACCTCTGGCTCCTAGGGTCTCCCCTGAATGTTCTGCTTCCCACGTCCCTCTGTAGGGCTGGCGTCCATAAACTCAGCCACTTGTCCTCATGACCCCGGGGCTCCCGCACCTGCCGCTGACCCCTGCCCTTGCCCATTCACAGTCCTTCCCGAGCGATGCTTCTAAACCAGACCACGCAGCCCCCCAATGTCTTCCGAACACAGTTGGAATAAAAACCGCCGGGCTCTCAGCGCCTAAGGAGTCTCATACACTCTGTCCCCTGCTCACCGTGAGTCACCTCTGAGCTCACCACCCCCCCCCCCACGCCTCTGATGCCCCACGGAGCCCTCCCCACAATGTCTGCTGCCCCTGCACGCACCCCCAGCATCTGGAAGAAACACAGCTGGGCCAAGACGACTCACTGGGTGTCTTCGAGAGTGCAAGTGACTTATTAACACAACAGAAGTGCTTTCGTCTAGTTCTTCGTTATCAGCAAATCTGAAAAAAGGGCTGTAATCCATTCTGCACGGTATTCTGTTTATTTATTGTTCCTCGGGGTCTCTGCACCTTTTTTTTTCCCCCAAAATGTACGATTCCGTGGTTTTTTAATATGTTCCCAAGGTCGTGCACCCATCACCACTATGTGAATCCAGAATGAGGCCCTCTCGGTGTGAAAGTCATTGCTGATTTTCAGATGCAAATGCCAACGGCTATTCCCAGGGTTTCTGAGCAGGTGGGATGTGCATTTGTCAAAAGGTATTTATTTAATTGTGGGAAAACACACTTAGCATAAAATTCACCACCTTACCCACTGTTAAGGGAGCCACCGGGTGGTGACAAGTCCCTGGGCATATGCAACCATCACCAGTGTCCTTCTCCAGAACCTTTTTTTTTTTTTTTTTTTTAATCTTGCAAAATTGAAACTCTGCACTCAGTAAACAGGATGCAGCAAGTTCTAGAAGCACAGGTGCTAAAGGTGAATTCTCTACCGATCCCTGCCCCCAACCTCATCACTGATGGAAGCAGGGAGGCCCAAAGAGGTAAAGCGTTTGTGCAAGGTGTTCCCTTCAAGCGTGCCCCACCAAGTCGTGAGAGCAGATTTCCCCACTGAAGGTGCTTCCAGTCCCCTGCCCTTACGGAGCAGCAGAGGAGTGACCCTCGGGCTTATCTGCATTCTGTCCAGGGGTTTGTTTCCATGTGGCCCTGAAGGAAAATCCTGTGGATTCTCTGAGACTTACGGAATCATCTGGACTCCCAAGAGGGGCTTAAATTCCTGCCTCGGATGCTAAATCTCCTGTTGAGACCTAAAGAGAGAACCCTTCTTCTTCGAGCTCGAGGCCCTCATGCCCCTTCCGGCTGTCCGCTCCCGATCCTTTGGTGGGGGGTGGCGGGGGAGAGGGGCGGTCACAGAGCAGGGGAAACCGAGGCACCACTTACCCAGAAGTAGTCACAATAGCTCCACTCTGTAGGTTTCAGCAGTTGCTGCTCTGGCATCGTGTCCGGATGAGGAAACGTCACGCAGTTTATCTGCAGGGCACAGGACAAGGCAGGAAGTGACTTGCCTGGACGGGAAGGCTTTGCGCCTGGGACACAGCATTACAGAGGCCTCCCTTCAGCGCCCGCTCGATAGAGCGTGCGTGGCAATCCTGGGAAGCACGTGTTTTTCGAATGAGGGGCAAAGGACACCCACGCCCCCAGAGGGGCTGGAATCGGCCGGAACTCTCTGGAAGGCAGTATAGTAACAGCATCCACCAAAACCACACACAGCGTGAGCCTCTGACCGGGCGACTTGTTCGTCAAAGACCACCCCCTACGGATGGATCGCGTGTGTCTAAACCCTCTTGTCTGCCAGCACACAGGTTTGTAGCCGCAAAAACACAACTCCACTGTCCTCCAGCAGGGGAACGGCTACACAAAGCTTGGGGCAGAGGGGCATCTGTGGGGTGTGCATCGAGAGCAGAGGACATGGGGAGAAAGTTCTAACGTGTGGCTACAGATGTTGTGCCGGGTCATATTATTAAGTGGGGAAGAAAAACATGAGCTGCAAAACGGTACTTAAGAGTATGCTACCATTTGCATAGGAAAAAAAAAAAAAAAAACAAGAGAGAAAGAGAGAGAGAGAGAGAGAAAATATGCACACATTTGGTTATTTACGTACGGAATACTTCTGGAAGCCGATAACATCGTTTGCTTCCAGAGAAAGGAATTCTGTGGTTGAGGGTCAGGGCGACAGGTTACCTTGTGCGTTTCATTTCACATTATTTATTCTACGAACAAAGAGCGTCTGAAAAGATGGTCCAGGATGTGTGCTCGGGGCTGGCCCTCACCCAGGAGAGGGCAGTGCAGACATTCCTGGGACCTGTCTCACACTTTTCCTGCCCAAGCTTGCCCGCCAGGGGGAAGTGGTTTTACCACTGCTTTTGCTGGGCCTGTTTCCAGCCCGGGATCCGCTCCTGTGGAACCTGCTCGTTTGTGTCCTTTGTGGGAGCCACAGAGCCTCACCCTGCAGACTTTAACTCTCACCACAGAGCCTGGAGCTGCTGCATTGGGGGCCATCTGATGATCAAGGCAAGAGCTGTGCAGAAAACCCAGGGGTCCTGGGGTCGCTTGGGGGGGCTCAGTCGCTGAAGCGTCTGACTCTTGGTTCCGGCTCAGGTCATGATCTCCCGGTTCGTGAGTTCGAGCCCCATGTCAGGGTCTACACTGACAGCATGGAGCCTGCTTGGGAGTCTCTCCTCTCTCTCTCTCTCTCTGCCCCTGTCCTGCTAGCATTCTCTCTCTCTCTCTTTCTTTCGCTCTCAAAATAAATAAACTTTTTAAAAAAATTAAAAGAAAAAGAAAACCCCAGGGGTTCTGGAGAGAGGCCACCAACTCCAAAGCCAAACAGCCATGCAAACAAACAAGGTACAGGCGCCACTTGGTCAGAAACTTTAGCGTGGGGGCAGAGGGGAGGGGGGGCGAGCAACCTCAGCCTTGGGAAGAGGTGGGGTCTGCGGAGATGCGGGTAGCCAGCGGATTCCTCCTAGCTCCTCCCGACTGGTGTCAAGCCGGCACAAAGAGCCGACTCAAGAGAAGCCAAAAATCAGCACTCTTAGGCGAAGCGTCTCAATGTTTAAATGCTGGCAAGTGATTCAAAGTTAAAGATGCTAATAAGGACGACCAAATTCCTCTGCCAGCTGAGTCGGGCTCACGGGCCCCCAGCCGTGTCCTGGGGTTCAGGGCCTCCACCCTCTGCTGCCAGGGGCACAGATCTTCCTTGTAGTCTCGGGAGGAGAGCAGGGGAGAAGTCCCAGCGGAGGACAGGAGCCCCCTCCTCCCAGACCCTGACATCTGGTGGAAGGAAGGGCTGAGATTCCCACTCTGAAGGAAAAGACAGAGTGGCAGGAATGACCCAGAGAACCCCAGAAACAGGGAGCACGGATTTCCACCAAGGTCAAAGTGCAGGTGCGAGGGACCCCCTGGGGTGGGGAATTTCCGCCCCAAGGTGTCCCTGGCCTGCAGGACAAGGTGTCCCTGGCCTCCAGGCTGCCGCTCAAGGCGTGTCCAGAGGGGAGTCTCCTTCCGGGGCTTCAATGACCGACGGCCACACGCATCTCCCATCGAATCGTGGAAACGGGGGCTGGACTGCAAAGCTTCACGTGTTCCTTATTTCATGTAACGGCTACTCCTGTGTCCAAAGATAACAGCGATCGCGAGGCATTTTGTCTTGCTTAATAATGTGGTCCGTGAAAATTTCAAACAAATCTAATGGCAAATTAACTGTGACATTAGACTGGGCCTTAAGGATCACGGAACCAGCGAGGGGGGGGGGGGGCATGGTGGTACCCAGAAGTGGACACAAGTGTCTTCTAGGGTGTCCTGTCGGCATCTAGAGGCAAGGGGTCCCACACGTGGCCCCGTCACAACCACTGAAAGGGAGCTGTCTGGGCTGGGGGAGACAGAAGGGGAGGGTAAGGGCTCATCCCTGTTGTTGCTCTTACCACTCGGTGAGGACACAGGTCCTTGGACAGACTGGTTGCGGACCCCAGGGTGCCTGTCCCCCGCCTGTACCAACTCTGGTTTGGGGACAGGCTGGCTCCCAGCTGTCCTGGGGGGGGGGGGGGGTTGCATTTCCCCAATGCTCACAGAGCCCTGCGCCTCCTGGTGGGCGACTGGAGAACTGCACCCTGCCGGCCTCCCTACCCCCAACCACCGCCCCAGGAGGCAGCTGTTAACACCCCCCTCCACCCCCGGGGGGGGGGGCGTGGGGGGCGGGAATCAGTGGACAGCCCTCACTCAGACACCCCACCAGGGGCCTTGCATGCATTCACTCCCAGGTCATCATCTCAGCAACCCCGCCAGCTGGGTTAACACGGGCCTCATTTTTGCAAGAAGAAAACCCGAGGGTCACAGAAAGCAAGAATCCGAATCAGAGCTGGGCTGACCACAGAGCTCAAGGCCTCCACCCAAAGCAGTTCATTCGGCGGACCCCTTGCTCGGCCATTTCCCATGCAAACATCTGCTGAGTGGCTACCCTGCTAGATCCTTCCAGCCCTTTGCACACACGCATTTGTAATTACACTTCTCATGACTGCTTAATTAGCATCTCTTTTCTTGACAGTCTGCCCCATGAGGGGAGGGAGACCCTTTCCCTGCTGTTTCCCTATTGCCTGGCAAGCACAGCCTCCGATGGGAGCTCAGGAAGGGTTTCTTGGTGCAATGACTCAAGGGCCAGAGACGGACAGAATGCTCTCTGTCCTCAACGGTCTTAGAGCCTCACGAGGAAGGCACACAAGTGAGAAAGTAATAGCACCACTTTGGGATAAATAGACCACTGGGCTTAAACATGGGTGCTGGGACTGCAGGAAGGGCGAGGAATCAGAGAGAGAGAGAGATTTAGGTAATGAGAGGATTAGGGTTTGGCAGACGGGGGGGGGGGGGGGCAGGCTCCGGCGGAAGGCCCGAGGTCTCAGGATGCGCCCCACAGTTGGGGAGCCAGGGAGCAGTCAAAACGGAGGCCGGAGGGGCACCCTGCAGGCACGGCAGCCCGGAAAGTGCCCTGAAGCACAGTGACCTGACTGGGCTACTCGCGGGGTGCACACACTGGCCGCGGCAGAGGGGGCGCACAGGAACACCCACCCTGGCCACCAGGGAGGCTCCCCAGGGACCAGCCCTCCTCCCAAGGCCTCCTGGGCACCGCCGGAGCTCCAGGGATGGTCTTCCTCCCAGCAGACACGGGGCACGGGGTGGGGGGTGGGGGGCGTCCTAAGGAACCATCCCCTGCTAAGAGCTAGTAACTTGTTCTGACTGCTTTACACCTATCGCCTCACTCAGTTGTCACGGCAACCCTGGAAGGCGGGTGCTATTATTATCCCCATGCTACAGGGCAGGAAACGAAGGCACAGAGAGGTTAGGTAAGTTATGCAAGATCACACAGCTTGTGTGTAACTGACGGTGCAGTCACGGTCTGAAGTCAGACAGTCTGGCTTTCCGCTTCCGTCGCACCGCCTTCTACGCTCCTATCCAAGGCAGGGGCTCAGGCAGGAAAGGGTGCTCAACACGGAGGAGCGGGGGTCTGCCTCTCCATGAATACTGTTTGCGAGAAGTTCTGGGAGCCACCTCCCCACCCTCGCTCCTCCTGAAATCACCATCCTCGACCTGCAGCATCTTGATGCTGACACCAACCCCGTTTTCTCCAACCCTCAGATAAATGGAGGAAGCCCCTCCCCTCCCTGCTGAGCACAGGTTCGACCCGCGCCCGGGGCTCCGATGCGGGGAGTCCCTGAGCGCATCCCCCGCGGCCCCCAGTCCCGGCCCCATGCGGAGGCTGTGCTGCAGGGCAGAGGCCACGGTCTCTCACCCACCTATCTGGGCAGCTGGCTCTGACTGTGCTTCTGGGCTGATCTGGGAGGGCGTGGAAGGGGGAAAGTCAGAGCGGAGGTCTGTGGGAGCAGAGAAGAAGCGACCCAGAGGGTTCACCTCCCGCCCTCAGGCTCCCACCCAGGGTTCCAGGGTGGCCGCCGGGTCACATCAGGAAGTGGAAGCTGAGGACCACAGGAGTCCCCAGAACCTTCCTTCCAGGACAGGAGTGTGGCGGTGTAGTTGTCATCTTCTCTGGAATCGTCTAGATTCTGACACATCGTGTTTGTGCCGAGGGCTGCGAGCTGCCCTTAGTGCCTGTCGTTCCTCATCAAGCAATCCGGTCCACAGCTGGCCCTGCCCAAGGCGTGCTCCGGGCCCCCAGCGGGAGGGGGAGGCTGGAATCTCAGAATCGAGCTCAATCCTGGCTCCGTAGCCCCCCCGAAGACGCAGACCCAGACCAGGACCCGGACGCACGACCCTTTGCTGCCCAGCAAGCATCTGGGTGAATCGCTCTAAGTGTCTGCTCCGTGGGATCTGTACCCCGACAGGGTGACAGGGTGGGAGACTGCTCACCCCGTCGTCCCCACTCACCAGGAGGGGTTTCCTGCACCCCGGGAGCTGGGCCGTACCCCCTGCCCCCACCCCATCCCAGTGGCCCCGCAGGGTCTCCTCCCTGGAAAACCATGAGCTCTGGAGGATCAGAGCCCAGAGGAAGGGCTGGGGACGGGGCAGGGAGGGAGCGAGTGCTGTAGGGACAGGGTAGAGGGGAGGCACACAGGCCTTCACCCATCTGGACACCTGGGGACACGCAGCCGGCAGACCCAGCCCCAAGACCGGGGAGCTGCTCCGCACCCTCTGGCCAATCCCTCCCATCCTCAGGTTCTCCAGCAAAAACTGGCAGACTCCGGCTGGGGTCCCAGACCAACCAGGTCGTAGGTCCAGGAATCCTACGAGGAACCCGCGTTTTAAGTAAGCTCCCCGGAGGCTGTGGCGGCCGACTGCACTTTGCAGGCTAGCTCGGAGAGGCACCGATGTAGGTCAGTGGAAGGAGGAGGGAGGACACGGGCTGGGAGGGCCGGTGAACAAGGTGTGCTGGAGAGGAGACCCTGGGGCGAGGCCCAGGGCGCTCAGAGGATGCCCCAAGCTCCGGCTCAAAGGCAAGGCCCAGCAGGTGGGTGACGGGGACCCCACCCTGGGGCCTGAGACTGTCTCCCCCTTCCCGGCAACTGCTTTCCGCTTTCCATTTCTGCTTTGGACTTTTCTACAATTCCCACATACGCTCCCTGCCTTCTTCTCCCTCTTTCCCCATTTCAGGGAACTTTAGGGGCTCCTGCCTTGCTCTGGGGCAGTCAATGGCACCCTAAAGTGGCAGGAAGATGCCCTCAGGAGGTCTGCCCTGGACTCAGGCCCCACTCTCAGGAGGTGACAGCACAGGTCTTGAATCCCGATGCTTCCCAGCCGGGAGAGGTATATGGCTGTGTGCCTCGGTTTCCTCATCTGTAAACCGGGTCGAGAAGGCGACTGGACACAGAGCACTGACTACAATCTCTGTTCTAAGGGCTTTCTGTGTACAGACTCATTTAGTCGGCACATGATCCCCGAGGCACAGACACCCACCATCTCCCCATTGTACAGACGTGGACACTGAGACCCAAAGGGGCAGAGACACTTGTCCCGGGCTGCCGTGCAGCTCGCAGGTGCTGTAACGGACCCTCTGGCTTCAGACCCCCTTGTTCACAACACTGGGTCTGTCCCCTCCCCCTCACACAGTGAGCGGAGAGCGAAATGAGCCGCTCGGAACACTACTGGTGCATAATAAGTGCACACCAAAGGGGCAGCAACTGTTGCTACTGATGTCGTTGTGCATGCAAACCTCTCTTTCCTCCAAAGCAGGATTTGCAGCCTCCACCAGCCAGGGAAGGCATACCCACTGTCGGGGTCATCTCCGTGGGGGTGGTCAGGACGGCTCAGAGCTGCCTGTGGTAGACGGAGCCCGGGGGAGCAGGTCCCCATTCCCGGCTCTGGGGCACCTGTGTCCAAACAGCAAACCCAGGACCACACTTCTCACGTCTCCGAGCCCTTGGCTGTCTGAGCAGCCGGACGATGCATCTGCCCCCAACATGTGGCTGGTGTGTGTGTGTGTGTGTGCGTGTGTGTGTGTGTGTAGAGGGGTGCCCTCCTCAGCCTGCACGTGGGAGCTTGGCGGGCTTCTGCAAGAGCCCCAGGAGGCGGTCTGGCCACCCCAGGCAGGAGCCGCCTGCTCCCGTCAGGAACTCTATTCTTAGGGTGCTTTCTCTTGTTTTTAACTTTGGTACCTTCTAGAAGTCACCCTGCGTGAAAGCAAGCCCCAGTGGTTGTAATTTACATGTCACGTCGCTTAGGCGGAGTATGGCCCACCCCCCTTCCAACCAACCCCCCCCCCACCGCCCCGCCAGCCACGGCTTCTGCATTGATCCCACCACGCCTGCACTTGGTCATCATCGGTCATCCGGAGTGAAATCAACAGAGGGGTCGGGGTGGAGGGCGGGGGTGGGGGAGGCAGGGGGGCATTTCGGCTACATCCAAGCTCTGGAACTCCCCAGTTTCCAGGCTGGGCTTCCGCTCAGCTCAGCGGTCCACATTGCCATGGCAACCACCCAGCATGGCAGAAAGCCCCAGAGCTCGCCCAACCTGCCCAACCTGGGAGCAGCACCCAGCGGGGAGTCACTTACCGTGATGGTGTTCTCCTTGTTCTGCTTTTTGCCTGGTGACGAGGATCCCAGGTTCTGGGGAGAGAGGCAAGAAACATCATCAAAGCTGTTCTCCATCCTGGACGTTTGCGCTTTCTGTTCGGGCTCCCCGAAGGCAGGGGGGGATGAGTGGAGGCCCCTTGCTGGGGAAGTTGGGGGGAGCAGATGCTCAAGCTGCCATTAACCCTTAAGTCACCATGTTCTGGAAGAGGGCAGGCAGGGGTGGCCCGGACCCCACACTGCTCCGGGGGGGGCTTCCCTGCTTTGAAGGCAAACAGGAGGAAGCCTCCCGCACAGCTCCAAACCAGGTCCCCCTCCTCTTCTCCCAGTTCCTGATTCGGGCAGTTAACCCCTCAGCTGCCCTCTGCTGGCAGACCGGTCCGCCTGCTGCCCGAACCCGCAGAAGCCACCGGAGAACAGAGAGTTAAAGCAGGCCACCACCTCCATGACATCTTATTCTGAATCCCCAGGGTCCGACATGTCCAATCCTCAAGCCGCGGAACGTGCATGGCTGGCGGGGTGAGGGGGGGCGGGCTCGGCCACCTCCGTGACGTGGGAGGGAGGCAGGAGGGATTTCTCGGCAGAGGCGAGTTGAGGCTCTTATTCATTCAGGCTCTGGATTGCCTTTTTATGTTTTCCTGTTGCCTGCAAACAAACTAGGGTCCCAAATGCCTCCGTCCCCAGGTCCTCAACATCTTGCCCCGGCCCTAGGATGGTCCTGGTGCAGAAAATTAAGGATTCCTAAGCTGAAAACACGACATGGGTCACAGGAGCCTAAAGGGGCAGGTCGATCCTGGGTCGTCACTGCCCCACGATCAGCAGTTACATTAACGAGTCAACAGGGTCCCAGACTGTCCTGAGCCACACGGTGCGTGGGGTACACGCATGACGTGGGACCCACGGCTTTCTTTCTCTAGTGAAACTTAAGGATGTGGTTGTTGACACTTCCTAGAAAAGGCTCAGAGAGGTCCCTCCATCCAGCCTCAGGGAACCAGCAGCCCCCCATCCCGGGCCAGCAAAGCCCGGACCACCGGCAAGGATGAGCATCGGTGGGGTGGCGGGGGCGGGGGTAGGGGTCAGCGCTGCCTCAGGATCTCAGCTGCTCACCGCACAAAACAGGGAGCTGGACTGAGTCCCTGTTTGCGGTTCCCTCATTCCTTTACTCCCGTCCAGATCGACCTGGGCTGGTAAGGGAAGTCCGTTAATGGAAGCGGATGTCCTCTGACCATCCAGCTAAAAGAACTCTATAGATCGGTCATGTTCCGGGCGAGGAAATAAACTCAGTAGTCTGGACACCCTGCCAAGCCACGGGTCTCCTCTGAGCCTCGATTTCACCGGTTGCTATCGACGGTCCACAAGCTTTGGAGGGCATCAGAATTAACAGGCATTGGCCCCACATCGGGTCCCGGCCACACCCCCCCGAGCTGAGCCGGCAGCAGTCAGGTGGGCCAGCGCCTCTGAAGCAGAGTCCGGGGGCCTCCCTTGGGGACACACTGATCTACGTGGTGTCATTCATCCAGGCTCCCTCACTATGGCAGCCGCACTGGCTCAAGCGTGTGACCAGCCACAGCTTCCCCAGACATTTCCAGAACAACAACGTACGACCTTCCCCTGAATCGTCTCGAGCTATCAGTGGTCGCCCAGGGCATGTGCCCAAATTGGGAGGAAGACCGAGGCCACGTGGCTGGAGCTCGAGTGCCACTATCCTGTGGCGGGTGCGGGGGTCTCTCGCAGGTTCATCCACGCAGAGGCACTGGCCAAACAAACCCATGCCGGGGAGGGGAAAGGGAAAGGGGACACTCCAGCATAGATTCTCCCCACCATCGACACACACTGCCACCACACTCCGAGCTCTCGCCCACCAGGATGTCAGCTAATGCACTAGCAACCAGTCTCCGTATCGATGCTGACGACGGGGACGAGGGGGGAAACTCTCCGAAGGAGGGAGACACCAGCCTAGGCATCAGACATACTCAAACCTGCGTAATCCTCCCAGACTCCGCGAATTCAGAGGCACCGCCTCCATTGCACAGATGGGGATACTGAGGCTTGCGGAAACGAACTCATTTGTCTAGGGTCACAAGGCAAGTGAAACTGGAGCCTACGGCTGAGTCTCGCTTTTCTCGATATTCTGCCGGCTCCCCACTTGGAGACCAGGGACAATCTCTTGTTTTCCAGGTGGCTCCACAGGGGTCAAGAAAGATCATCATCCACAGTCACTGACCTGGGGACCACCGTGTCCAAGGCTCTGTGGAACGGAGCCGGACACAGAGGTGGCCCTCCTCCCTGTAACTGGGGCCAGGACAGGAGTGCAAGTAACGGCATTGACGATGCGGGCAAGGGGTCCTCTGCCCCCCCTCCCCCGCCCTCTCTGCCCTCCTGGATGCTCAGTCTCAGCCAGGGCTGAGCAGGGTGATGCCAAGCCCTTCCAGGCAGCTCAGGCTCTGTCCTTGCTGCCAGTGGTCTGTGCCTACTGTCCCAACATCACCTACACACATATGCAGCATATACACGCGCTATATATACATACGTGTACACACATCCACACATCACACACATCCACACACACACACCTGTAGCACTTCACAAAAGGGCCCGGAAGGAATTACACCTCCGTCACAGGGAGAACACCTACTAGCCAGAAGCTGGCTTCTAAATACTATTCCATACTAAAAGGAAACGAATCCCTTGGAGAAATGGCTCATTCCAGATGCCAGACAGATCTGGCACATTCAATTGTTCTGGGAGGGAAGAAACAGGGCAAAGAACAATGTGGTCTCACCAAAGGACCCAGGCGCCAGCAGAGAGAGGGTCCAACAAGCCAAATTTGGGACAATTTGGGCATGGCTGTGAATAACGACCGAAAACGAGTAACTTAAAAGGCAGCAAAGGGGGCGGGGGGTGTATGCGGTATTTCTTTATGGAAGAATGCCCCTAAAAATGGTTAAGGAATCAGAAAATTACCATTTGCAAACCCCAAAGTCAAAACGGATCCAGGCCACGGTCACCAAGGATGCTGAAGCACTGAGGAACAGTATCACCCTTCCCGTCCCCCCACCCCCAGATTACTGGCTAATCAGAAAGGGAAAATGCGCCCTTGCAAAGGGGCCATCGCATTAACCGGGAGCTCAAACTCAGCATCGCTGGAGGGGTGCTAACCTGAGAAGCCCCAGGAGGTAGAAACCTTTGCCAAACTGCTAACCCTGAATCTAAGCAGAAGAAAAGAAGTAGATAATGCATCAGGGTCACTCTGCAACTGACCTGGGCTCTTCCCACAAACAGCCACCGTGGGGCAAGACATAAAGAACAAATGTGTGGGAAAAATACAGTCTAGATTAAAAGGAGCTAAAGCCGTAGATGAGATAAAATGGTGAGTCCACAGGATGGGATACTACGTGGCCCCGGGGAAAAGGAACACAGTGTCACTCCATTTGCAACATTCGCAGACCTTGAAACATTGTTGTAAGTGAAAGAAGCCAGACACACGGAGGCCCTGCACGGTGCCGTTTCACTTCTATGAAATGTCCAGAAGAAAGAGGCTCACCTACGGAGACAGGCAGAAAGCAGATTAGTGGGTGCCCAAGACTTTTGGGGATTCTTTCCAGGGTGATCAAAGGGCTCTAAAATGGATTGTTACTGATGGTCCTGCAACACTGTACGTTGTAAATGACTGGATGAATTACATCTCCGGAGAGAGAGGAACAGAGTAAAAAGATACAGTAACCAATGTATCCACCTATAAAAGTGGGATGGACTTTAGCCTTGGGATGTTGCCAGTGTCCATAATAAAAGTTTATTTATTTATTTATTTTTAAAGTTTATTTATTTTGAGAGAGAGATCAGGGGAGGGGCAGAGAGAGACAGACAGAGAATCCCAAGCAGGCTCAGCACCCGCAAGCCGCAAGATCATGACCTGAGCCGAAATCAAGGGACGGATGCTTAACCGACTGAGCCACCCAGGCACTCCAATAAAAGTTTGTTTGTTTTTAAATGTCCTTTGCCTAGGATTCTGGAAAGTTTCTCTCCTTTTTTAAGAGTCCCTCCCCAGCCTGGTTTCCTCCTCTCTGGCCCGGGCCACTCTGCTGTTACCATGCGGTGAGGACCCACAAGGGTGGTCACCCACAAAGGTAGAGCTGGGTGGACTGCATCGTACGTTCACAACTACCATGCAAACCCAGGCTTTGCACGTCTTCTGACCCTGTCTCCCAGCCTTACCTCCTCGGCAGGCGGGATCCAGAATGAAGCCTCTCGATGGCTTCCCTGTACCGTCAGAATAAAACCCAAGCGCCTCACAGTAGGCCTGTGCAGACTCGGCCGGCCCCACCTTCCGCCCTCCTGACACCCGCTGAGCCTGTAAACCACAGCCCCACTTGGCCGCTGTGGATTCTCTGAAACCACTGCCCTCCTTCCCCTTCCGGCTGTTCCCTCCGCCTGGAAGGCTGTTCCCACCACCACCCTACCCTGTGCCAGGCTAAACCCTCACTCATCTGCCCAGTCTTAGCTTACGCACCTTTTCCTACAAAGCCCATCACTGACGTTTCTGCCATCACTGACCGCCACCGGCCAGGTCCCAGGGACACACACTTCCCTCCAGCCCGTACCACTGCTGACACGAAACACTTGTTTATCTTGTGCCTTCTCCAGCAAGGCAGGGGCTGGGCTACGTGCCTGCGAGTCAATGCCTGGCCAAGGAAGCGGCACTCAATGCAACATGTGTTGCTGGGCTCAAGGGAAGCCCCACCGGGTAGAGGAGTCTACCTCAAACTCCCTTCTCCAGTGGGACCCTTCAGTTTCCAAGCCTTTGGTCCCAGCCCCTGTCTCCTCTCCTGGGTCTTCCTGGGGGATGCTCAAGGGAAGCCAGGACAACTTTGGCCACCAAAGCGCCTGGGCTCCAGGGGCAGATCCCTTGTGTGACCCCCACCCCACCTGCACAGGGATCCGAGAGGGAGCCCATCACAGGCGGGCAGGCAGGGGACAGACCAGGATGTGCTTCCAACAAAGGCCAGTAAGACTATCAGCCTCTGACACCCCAGCCTCGCAATCAGGTGGACCCATTTATCCAATACCCCGGCAGCCCACCCCAAGGCTGCAGGCTGGAAAACTTCCACTAGGTGGCGCCAGGCCACCACCACCTGCGCCCGGCCATCTGGTCTCCCAGGACTTGGGGAGGACCAGGCAGGCACCCAGCCTGCATCAGTCCTGTCCACGACGGGGGCACGGTGGGGGACACATTCCTGGTGGCCCAGGAAGATCAGGTATGCACTCCCCACCCCCAACATTTTAATCTCCCTGATTAGCCTGCTTAAGGAGGAGCAGAGAACAGGAAAAAACAAAACAAAACAAAACAAAACAAAAACCATAGAGGGCTTTGAGCAAACCCTGGGCAAGCTGCTTGGCCCAGCCCCCTACCCTGTATCTCCACCGGCCATGTGTTCCTTTGCCCATTCATTCACTCTCCAGGTATTACAAAGTCCTAATTGCTGTTCATTATAATTCACAGGGATGGCGTGAGTAATACTTTGCATGTCAAAGAGCGCCCTGTTTACTTTGGGGATAGCTTGCTGGCTCTGTAAACAATAAAACTCATCCTCTTTCTGTGATTGGCCCCAAGCACCTTTGTGGGAAACCAGCGCCTTCTAGAATCCTTCCACTGCCTAAAAAAAAAACCCAACATGCTACATTCCAGTCGTGGGAAGCAGTGAACCACTGCGTATTTGCTCTCTCCACGCACTGTGTTATTTATTTTTGTTAAAGACTTTTTTTTTAACATTTTTGAAGGGGGGGGCAGAGGGGCAGAGAGAGCGGGAGAGAGAGAATCCCAAGCGCTCTGTGGGGTCAGTGCAGAGCCCTCCACGGGACTCGATCTCACGAACCATGAGATCATGACCCGAGCCAAAATGGAGTCAGACGCTTAACCGACTGAGCCACCCAGGCGCCCCCTATTTTTGTTACTTTGATGACACATCGATGCTCAACGTTACCATCCAAAAAGAATACACACTCAATTTCCACCTGCCCCTCAGCAGTCATGGCCTGTCCAGGCCGGGGTCTCCAGAGCTGGCCTGCTCTGCGTCCCCAGGGACCAGAACCTTGTTTCTACCCCTGCTCACTGTGTCTGCCTTCCATTAAAGTAAAACGTACTCATTCCAGGCAATGCGAAAAATACTGCAAAGTGCAGAGAAAACACAAAGTACCTTAGGCCAAGGTTTCTCAACCTCAACACCATGTGTGTTTTCTAACTGGACAATTCTTTTTCTTTTTTTTTTTAACTTTATTTATTTATTTCGAGAGACAGCATGTGTGTGCAAGCGGGGGAAGGGCAGAGAGAGAGAGGGAGAGAGTGAATTCCAAGCAGGCTCCAGGCTCTGAGCTGTCGGCACGGAGCTCGGACTTGTGAGTGCGAGATCATGACCGGAGCTGAAGTTGGACGCTTAACCGACAGACACCCAGGGGCCCCTTTAAAAAAAAATTTTTTTTTTAGTATTTATTTATTTTATTTATTTTTTTAATTTTTTTTTCAACGTTTTTTATTTATTTTTGGGACAGAGAGAGACAGAGCATGAACGGGCGAGGGGCAGAGAGAGAGGGAGACACAGAATCGGAAACAGGCTCCAGGCTCCGAGCCATCAGCCCAGAGCCTGACGCGGGGCTCGAACTCACGGACCGCGAGATCGTGACCTGGCTGAAGTCGGATGCTCAACCGACTGCGCCACCCAGGCGCCCCATTTTAGTATTTATTTTTGAGAGGTGTGTGTGCTTCCCCCCAACCCCCCAACTATCGTGTTCTCTCTGCATTTCCCTGAATCATTATATATTCTTCAGAAAAGGGCTTTCTCGTGTCTGCATGATATCGCAGGCTGGATGGATATTCAGGGCCAAAATCCATTTTACCCATCCCGTGTTGCTAGACAGGTTGGACCCAACACGGGTAGTGCCGTAAATGATGCTTCGCACATAAATCAGAATCCTGGGATGTGTTCCGAGGACAGATACTGGAGGGGGAGATTCCTGGGTCAAAAGTCAGCTTCTGAGATGGTTATATCCATATACGTTAAAAAACAAAAAGGTTTAGTAATAACGTCACTGTATTTGGGGGTGGGGGGTACTATGTTCTATCAGAGAAAAAAACAACAAAAACGGGGGGCCGGGGGATGGTTCCAATATTCTTCTTGATGTACCCAAGCCAACACCAGCTTTTTCCATTCTGTTACAGCAGAGAAGGACCTAGGCTGAGGTCTTCAGAAACCACCATGCAGCCGGGTGGTAAAAGTCAGGTTCGTCCCACATAGGTCGGCAGGGGCAGTTTGGGGGCTCAGCAGAAAACACACAGTGCCAGGGCTGGGAGGGACGTGTGCCATGTGGAGGGGAGCAAAGCGGCTACATTCACATGCTGTGTCCTATCGTCTGTGCCCGGGTCCTCGCTGCTAAAGTCGCGGTCCCCTGACCTACATCATCAGCATCATCCGGGGCCTGGTTGGAAACACAGAACCTCAGGGTCCCTCCTAGACCTTCTGAATCAGAATCTACATTTTTAAAAATGTTTATTCATTTTTGAGAGAGAGAGAGAGAGAGAGAGAGACCGCGAGCCGGGAGAGGCAGAGAGAGAGAGGGAGACACAGAATCCGAAGCAGCAGCCTCCGGGCTCCGAGCGGTCAGCAGAGCCCGACGCAGGGCTCGAACCCACGAACTGCGAGATCATGACCTGAGCCGAAGTCGACTGAGCCACCCAGGCGCCCCAGAACCTACATTTTTAACAAGAGGCCTGGGCGATGAGGAAGTCCGTCAAAAGGGGAGAAGACTTGGCCCAGATGGACGTCCGATTTCTTTCCCAGAGAGTTAGCTGAATTAACCTGGGCCCGACCGAACAAAGTTTCCAAAAATGAACACTCCTGTCTGTGTGACTGCCAAGTGTCCCAGCTCGGCTGAGCTCAGCAACAGATCACAAGGCCTTGCTCTGAAGGGCACGTGGCACCCGCTGTTGGGGATAAGCGGCCACGGTCATCCCGCACAGCAGCCAACACAGGTATCACCATTGCCATCTTCACCCCTGGGGCCTGGAAGAGGAGCTCCTAGAAAGGACTGGTGGACCCTGGGGCCTTCACTCAGAACATCTTCTGGACAGAACTTACAGACAGACTAGAACAAGCCGATCCTTCGTTCCTCGGACACAGCTTAACGCAAACTTAGGAGCACCCCGGGGCTCGGCGTCAGAGTCCGGTCTGACCACTTGGTAACCGTGTGAACCTGCCTGAGTCACCTGAGCGGTCTAAGACTCCGTGGCCTCACCTGTGACACGGGAAAGGTACAGACGTGTGTCTGCATAAATGCCAACGGATGTGGTGATGGAGAAGCCAGGATGGGAACCTTAAGCCTTTCCCCCATGTCCTCCCCCCATCCTACTGTGGTCTCTGTGCTAGATTATTAAGTATGAGAACAAATTTCACGTGGGGGTGCGGAGGGGGTGCACAGAAGAAGGAAAATCGCCCGGCCCCATCCATACTCGCAAAGCGACGGAAACCTAGACTCTACGTAACAGAAATCCAGACGGCAGGATGGAACCCTGTGCCCTACGATCCACCAAAATCACCCCCCGCCCCCAGCCGCCTGCGAGTCCTAGAGAAAACCAGCAAGGCACAATCACCCGCTTTCCTCCAATCATGGCACGTGGGAACGACCCAGATACACCAACCGCTTTCTACACCAACCAGACCTGCACTGCCGTCCCCCAGACCCCCGGGACGCACCGTCTTGACGACAGCCCCCTGGCCCTGCATGACGGACACCCCCCCCCCACTACCTCCCGTCACAGGACCCCTTACCTGGGAATCACCGGTGGATTTTCGGACACTCATGTGGGCAGTCTCGGGAGGGTGCGCTGGGGTCCCTGCCGCGTGGTATCCATTCACTGCGGGAGAGAAACACAGCTCAGAAGCTGCGCTGGCCACAGGCGGGCAACACCGGCTGCCTGTAACCACAGCCCCTTCTCCTGCCTGGCTCTGAGACGTCTCGCACGGCTGGGACCATCTCTCTAACCCCCAGCACCCAATGGCGGAACTCCCGGGGGAACCACGTTTCTTCCTGAACCAGCGGGGGACGTGCTGAAATGGGAGGTGGGGTCACGAGAGTCTAACAGCCGTCACCGGAAGTGCCGCATCAGTTGTGGCCACTGGTGCCCGTCAAGGGCCCAGCCTCCTTCCACAGAGTCAGGTGGCCCGTCCACTACCTGCCTGCGGTTCGTGGTTACGTGGAGCTTACTGAGCTCGGTGAGCCTCAGTTTCTGGATCTGGAAAATGGGGACAATTCTCCCCAATCTCCAAACCTACCCTGTTGGCATGAAAATCACACAAGACACGGGCCGCCTGGGTGGCTCAGTCGGTTAGGCGTCCGACTTCGGCTCAGGTCATGATCTCACGGTTCGTGGGTTCGAGCCCCACGTGGGGCTCTGGGCTGACGGCTCGGAGCCTGGAGTCTGCTTCCGATTCTGTGTCTCCCTGGCTCTCTGCCCCTCCCCCGCTCGTGCTCTGTCTCTGTCTCTCTCTCTCTCAAAAATGAATAAACATTTTCAAAATAGTTTTTAAAAAAGAAAATCAAATGAGACAGTATTTGCCAAAAGGAGCTGTGAGTTATGGCGTAACTTATGAAAAGGAGAGAGGGGTATAGATGGAGAGACAGCAGGTCACTGCTTCTGTTCCCGAATCCAGTCACCCTGAACCCCAAGCCTGTGTGATCTCTGGAGACCAGAGAAGCGTGCCTCCCTTATGCCCTGGGCTTGGAACAACATATCCACCATGCGGGTCGAACCAAAGACCTACAAAGTGGGGTCCAACACGTGGTTCTTATGGAGAGAGCCCTGGAATGTGGCCAGAAGCAAGAGAGAGACTGGCTGAAAGCCACTGACACCTACTGATTTGCTGGAAGCAAGCAATGGGGTGATGGAGGCTGCCCCCACGCAGGACCTTTTTCCCGCTGGGGGATGCCTCCCACTGTCTACCATTTGCAGTAAGAAACAAAACAAATCCATAACCCCCTGCGACCAGAAACACAGACCACTCGGCAGACCCCCGTGGACAGCTAGGCTTCTCTCTGATCTGCAGGGTGGTCTGATCCCCTGGAAGAATGCTGGGCACAGACACAGGAAGGCTACCGAAAACTGGGCACGGAGGTGGCCCCCAGGGAGGTGGCTTGGGGAAGCAAGAAACAAATTAACCCGCTGGGCCAGCCACAGTCCTGGTCTGCACACATGCCCCTCGGCAGCTAGTTACATGCTGATGCTATCCGTGAGTCCCCAGCTTAAGGGGATGGGCTTCCAAGAGCATCGGAGGGTGCTGGGGGGGGGGGGCGGGGTCGAGGAGAATCCACTCGAGTTGGCATAAGCCATGCCAAGAAGGGCCCTACCCTGATAAATATAACCCACGATGAAGGCATAACATTTGAGAACTATTACTTATCGAACAGCACAGGACTGGAATGGAGAAAATTCATGTGGTGTGGCGTCTAAAGACAACAGGGGAAAACTGGACCGCTTTCCGTATGCAACTGAGCAGTGGACAAAAGTGAGGCTATCCCAGCAATTTAATCAACTAGATATTAAACATCATGCGCTACAAAGAAAGAAACCGTCTTTTGCCAACAAGCCACAGAAACTTAAAAAAAAATGATTTGGGCATATTTAAGCCGCGAATAAAGGGTCAGTAAATCGCAAAAGGCATAAAGAACGTTGGCCACATTCTTTGACCAGAAAGCAGTAAAAGCAGATAATAGCCAAAGACCAAATATCAAATTCCCCATCCCTCCAACTCCCAAACACTTGGAAATTTAAGTAAATGCCTTCCAGGGGCGCCTGGGTGGCTCAGTCAGTTAAGCATCTGACTTCAGCTCAGGTCATGATCTCATGGTTTGTGGGTTCGAGCCCTGCGTCGGGCTCTGTGCCGACAGCTCGGAGACTGGAGCCTGCCTCAGAGTCTCTCTCTCTTTCTCCACCTTTTCCCTGCTCGTGCTTTTTCTCAAAAATAAAATAAACATTAAAAAAATAAAAAAATAATAATTTAGAAAACATTTTAAAAGCCAGTAAAATTAACCAAAGGAAAACATGAGGAGGGGGTGTAGATACAGCAACAGAAACGAATTGGTTAGGAAGTAGGATGACATTCACAACTCAGGCAAGTTCTCTTTGTGTGTGCCTGGGGGAGGAATCACAGCAATAAAAAAGCAGGTCAGCTCATCTAATTTGAGACAGAGAGAGAGCATGAATGCTCAGAAGGTGGAATTAGAAAGAACACATGAGCAGATCTCGTAAGAGATTTTTTTATAAATACAAGAGCATATGATTTGTAATTATGTGCTAATAAATACACGACCTTCCGTAAGACCCAAATGATTAAAAATGGCTTCAAAGGACCCTAGAGGGGTGCCTGGGTGGCGCAGTCGGTTAAGCGTCTGACTTCAGCCAGGTCACGATCTCGCGGCCCGTGAGTTCGGGCCCCGCGTCGGGCTCTGGGCTGATGGCTCAGAGCCTGGAGCCTGTTTCCGATTCTGTGTCTCCCTCTCTCTCTGCCCCTCCCCTGTTCATGCTCTGTCTCTCTCTGTCCCAAAAATAATAAATAAACGTAAAAAAAAAAAAAAAAAAAAAGGACCCTAGAAACACCAAAATGAGTAAAACTTTTGAAAAATGACCTCCCTCCAAAAGGCACTGGACCCAGATGGTTTTACGGGCAAATGCATTCAAACGCTCGACAAAGAAAATCCTAGAAAAAAACCGCACCTGGCTTTAGGAACATGGGGCAAATTTCCCAGTTTATTGCACAAAGCCAATATTACCCTGACCCTAAAACAACAGAAGAACTGAGCCACAGTTCAGTTTGACTACAAACACGAAATATGTATACTCTTACCTGAGCAGGTCTTAGCCTGGAAGCAGTCACCACCTCTGACGATGTTGGGTCCCTACAGGGGGCCTCCTGGAGGCCAGGGGCCGCCCTTCTGACCCCCACTGACCCCCTCACAGCACCTGAACGTGCACCCTCAGTATACGCCTGTCTGCCTTCTGCTTCCAGCATCCCCCAGGCACCCCGTCTGCCACATTAATGCCAGCCAGGAACTGCCTAACGCAGGGGCATTCTATCCCTAATCCATTCTCTTGTTCTCACTTCGGTTCTGAGCTGTCAGCTGCTGGCTAATTACTCCCCATGTCAAAACAATTACCGGGAAAGAAAAAATAATTTTGCATCCAACCATTTCTCTCCATCCGGCAGCTCTGCCCTGACCTGGTGTTGCTGTGTTTCAGGCCCCCAGTCCCAGGCACACTCAGAAAAAGTGCTTGGTGGAGATCTGAACGGTTACGGCTTACCCACGAGCATTCCTGATTATTCCCAGTCCTCTGGGCTCTCAGCTGACCGAGAGTTAGAGGCCAGAAGTGGGTGCTTTTGAGGCCTCCAGCCTCCGGGTAGCAGGGGGCAGGTGGAATAAAATAAAATTGGTCAATGATCACTCATAACCATAAGGAACACAATTCGTTCTGGGGGTACAAGAAAAAAGGAAAATGCCCATTTCAGCTGTTTCTAAGAGAAAAAAAAGGGAACAGAAGCTCTTATGTAGTAACTTTCATAATTTCCAGCACAGATATAAACACACGCACGTATATGTTTCATCCCTCGTTGTGGGCGGTTAAAAACAAAGAGAGGGGGGCTTGAGGGATGCATCAGAAGAGGGGAAGGGTGTTTGGGTAGAAAGGGAAAGGAGGCGGCCTTCAGGGGCGTCGGAGAGGAAGTGGATAAAGACGGAAAGGAGGGGCAGTGACAAGAGTTCCCGGGAGACGCCAAGCAACAGAAAAGAGTCCGCCACATCCGCCGCCCAGAATCCATGGGGTCAGTGGCCCTGCTTCCCTCCAGCTCCAACCCCCAGCAGAGAAAGTTCCCTCCTCCATGCCTCACTGTTCCCTTAGAGCACCCCAACGAGTAGACTTAACCCTTCCAAATGAGAAACTCAGCCCTGGACAGTCCCCCTTCTAATATCCCTTCCTTTCTTTCTAACTCCCTTGAGTTCTTTCCTCAAGCTTAAGGAACCCAGGAGCCCCGGGGTCTTGTTCATGACATCCGCACGCCCACCCCCCCCTCACACAGTCAACATGGCGGAACGCAGGGTTTCCCCAGGCATGCAACTCCGCGGCATTTGTTCTAAACGTGAGGCGGTGAAGGGAAACGGAAGTGTCTTATGGTCCAAAGAGTTTGGGACAAGTGGCCCCCATTATTCACTGCTTTATTACCCGAGGCCTGTTTAAATACAGGCACACCGGGGCGCCTGGGTGGCGCAGTCGGTTAAGCATCCGACTTCAGCCAGGTCATGATCTCGTGGTCCGTGAGTTCGAGCCCCGCATCAGGCTCTGGGCTGATGGCTCAGAGCCTGGAGCCTGTTTCCGATTCTGTGTCTCCCTCTCTCTCTGCTCCTCCCCCGTTCATGCTCTGTCTCTCTCTGTCCCAAAAGTAAATAAACGTTGAAAAAAAAAATAAAAAAATAAATAAATAAATAAATAAATAAATACAGGCACACCTCAGAGATATTGAGGGTTGGGTTCCAGACCACCACAATAAGCAAACAAACGTCACCATAAAGTGGGTCAAACGCATGCTTTGGTTTCTCAGATGTACGTGAAAGTTATGTTTACATCCTACTCTATTAAGAGTATCGAAGGGCAGTATGTCAAAAAAAAATGCATATACTTCATTTAAAAATACTTTATTGGGGCACCTGGGTGGCTCAGTCGGTTAAGCGTCAGACTTCGGCCCCAGGTCACGGTCTCGTGGTTTGTGAGTTCGAGCCCCACATCGGGCTTTGTGCTGACAGCTCAGAGCCTGGAGCCTGCTTCGGATTCTGTGTCTCTCCGTCTCTCGGCCCCTCCCATACTCATGC